TACACCCAATCTCCCCTTCCTTTGTCTTACCTCCCCATGTATGGCCCCCTGTCACTTCCCACCCTTAATCTCCATTCTCCCTTGGCCACAAGGTCCAGGTCCCAGGATTTCTGTTCACCCCAGTTTACTGGCCACTCCTAGGTCCCTCCCACAGTCTTTCTGATATAAGGTCCACCTTGTTTTGGCATATTCCATTAAGATGCTCAGATTCTTATAATCTAGCCACTGCTTAGATTCTTATAATCTTGCCATGGCTGGGATTCCTCAAGCCTAGCCACTGGTCAGATTCTTATAATCTAGCCACTGTTCAGATTCCTTAAGAGTCTGCCCAATATGATGGATGTTCTAATAAACCTTGTCTTTGGCTGAAAGAAGACTTGGCTCAAATTCTTTTGGGCAGGACCCGCATGTTGTGATATTGGGGTCTCAGCCTCCCCGAATCTCTAAACCACATCATTTTGGTAGAAATTAGGCACAGACCAAATCTCACCCTATTTACCAAGATAAGCGCAAAACAGGTTCATGACTTAGACATAAAAGGTAATAAAATAAGTGAAGTAGTGGGGCATGGAAGAAATCATTTGTCAGATCTCTGGAGAAAGAAAGAGTTCATGACTAAACAAAAGACAGATGGATCATAGGTAAAATGGATTAAATGTAATTACATTAAATTAAAAAGGTTTTACTCAAACAAAACCAATGCAGCCAAAATTACAAGAAAAGCAGGAAACTGGGGAAAAACCTATGTAACAAGTTCTTCTGACAAGGGTCTCATTTCTAAAATATATATGGAACAGAGTCAAATTTACAAGTATAAGGTCATTCCAGTTACTCCCCAATTGAAAACTGGTCAAAGAATATGAACAGGCAATTTTCAGAAGAAGAAATCTTAGTTACCAATAGTCATATGAAAAAAATGCTCTAAATCACTAATAATTTGAGAAATACAAATTAAAACAACTCTCAAGTCTCTTTACACTCATAAGATTTGCTAAGACAACAACAACAAAAAAAGAGAAATGCTGGGGTGGGGGAAGGTGTGGGGAAAATAGGTACACTAACACACTTATCAGAATTGTGAACTAGTCTAATGCTTCTGGAAAGCAATTTAGAACTATGTCCAAAAAGCTATTAAACTGTGCGTATCCCTTTGGCCCAGTGACACTACTATTCGGTCTGTACTCCAAAGGGATCAGTGGGGGCAGCTAGGTGGCACTGACCTGAGTTCAAATCTGGCCTCAGACACATAACATTTACTAGCTGTGTGACCCTGGGCAAGTCACTTAACCCCACTGCCTAACCAAAACACAAAACAAAACCAAAACCAAAACCAAAAACAAAGAGATCAATGAAAGAGAAAAAGGATCCATATATACAAAAATAGTTTTAGCAGCTCTTTTTATAGTGACAAAGAATTGGAAATGGAAGAGATGCTCATCAATTGAAAAATGGCTAAATAAGTTACGGTATATAAATGTGATGGAATACTATTGTGCTATATTGTGCATTATATAATTATAATACATAATGAAAGGGGCAGTTAGGTGGCACAGTGGATAGAGCACCGGCCCTGAAGTCAGGAGGACCTGAGTTCAAATCTGGCCTCAGATCAAACACTTGACACGTACTAGCTGTGTGACCCTGGGCAAGGCCCTTAACCCCAATTGCCTAAAAAACAAACTAACTAACAAACAAACCAAAAAAAAAAACCAAAACACAAATATATAATGAAGAAGATAAGTTTAAAAAAAAACCTGGGAATGCTTGTATGAATTGATGCAAAGTAAAGTGATCAGAACCAGAAGAAAAATTTATACACTAACAGCAACACTATAATGATAAATTGTGAAAAACTTCATAACTCTGATCAACACAATGTCCAACCACAATTTGAAAGGTCTGATGATGAAACATGGTATCCACCTCTAGACAGAAAACTGATGGACAGCAGAGTTAAGGATATCTTCTGCTCTTTCTTACTTTTCTTTTCTTTTTTTTTTTGGGTGGGGGGAGTGGTGGACAAGGCTAATGCAGAAATTTGTTTTGCATGATCATACATATTTGTAATGGGTTTTGTTTTTCTTGCCTTCTTAATGGGTGGGAAAGGGGAATGAGGAAAGAGAAAATACAGAACTGGAAATAAAATTCAATTAAAAAAAAGAAGGGAGAGAAGCGCATTTTGTCATCTCTTCTCTGAGAACAAGGTTGGTAGATAATTATAACTACATAGCACTTGGCTCCTTTTTTTGTTCTATTTATATTGTTATAATCAATGTGTATGATGTTGTTACTGGTTCTGCTTACTCCACTCTAGCATCAGTTCATACAAGTCTTCTAATGCTTCACTGAATTCTTCATATTCATCGTTTCCTATGGAGCTAATATTCAATTACATTCACGTAAAATAATTTGTTGAGTCATTTCCCAATCAATGGGCTACACTTTGTTTTCAGGATTTCGCTACACAAAAAAAATGTTGCTATAAATACTTTGTTTCTCTTTTCTTTACTTCCTTGGAGCATAAGCCTCGCAGTGGAATCTCTTAGTCACTTTCTTAGTTTAATTCCAAATTTATTCCCAGAATGGTCAGACCAATTCATAGTCTCACCAATGGTGGATTAGTGTGTTTATCTTTCCACAGCTCCCTCTTAACACTGACCATTTCCATACTTTATCATCTTTGCCAATTTGCTAGGTATGAGTGTGAAACATCAGAGCTTTTCTAACCTGCTTTCAGAGGAGCTAGATGGTAGAGCGGATAGAATCCCAGGCCTGTAAACAGGAAGACCTGAGTTCAAATTCAGCCACAGACACTTACCAGCTGTGTGTGATTCTGGCCAAGTCACTTAACCCTGTTTGCCTCAGTTTCCTAATCTATAAAATGAGGTGGAGAATGAAATGGCAAACCATTCCAGTATCTTTGCCAAGAAAACCCCAAATGGGTTTTCCTGAAATTATTGGATAACAACAACAACAAATCTGTTTTTCTTTAATTATTAGTGATTTGGAACAGTCTTTCATTCATTGTCAATAGTTTGCAACTCTTTTTTTGAGAACTATTTGTTCACATCTTTTGACCATGGATCCAACACGGAATGACATTCTTACATACTGGTGTTAATAGTTCTCTATATATCTTTAAGATATTAGTCCTTTGTCAGAGATAAAAAAAGCAAAGGTTTTTCTTTCAATTGCTAGTTTCCATTTTTGTTCCAGTTGATTGTTTTTATTTGTGCAAAAGTGCTTCAATTTCACATAATCAACACAATCCATTTAATACTTTGCCCCTCTCTCTAGTATCTTTCCCCTCCAAAACACAGAGCAAATGTTCATTTTTAATAGGCAAACATGAGATATCTCTCTAATTTCTTCAGAAGAAAATAATAATGGACAAACACAGCAAATCAAAGAGCAACCCAGGTATCTGGTACATCTAAACAGGTGACACAGAAAGAGAAGATTTTTTTAGGGTAGTAGATGCTGAAGAGAAGACAGTATTGGGTAGCTGTGGAAATTAAACTTGTCTAGGTATAGCAATGCAATGATACACAAAAAGCAAAGACGTTTAATGTAGCTAAAGGAGAGAAACCTAATTTCAGAAAGAGTAACACTATCAGACTAAAGGGATCCTGAACTGAATATAGTTGGACTTGGGGACTGAACGGGGACGTGTGAGACAGGAAATTCAGTAAGATGCATGCTCTAAGTTGAACAGATGTTAACTCTGTGCCCATAACTAGATAACGATAACTGCCCACCTTTAAAGGTTAAGAAGTGGTATAATATAATCTTTAGAGAGTTGGCCTAGAGTCAAGAAGACCTGGATTCAGTGCTGCCTCTGACATATACTGACTATGTTACCTGGAGACTAGTCACAATATCTCAGTATTCAAGCTATCTCTCTAAGACTATAAGTTTCAGAGAAGATGCTGCCCTGTAACTGGTACAGTTTCCTCATCCAAGAATTCCTTTTATCAATGAAATTACAGGCTTATTTCCCACTCTGTAAAGTCTACACCTAAGTTCGCATCACTTGTAATTTTTTTTGTATTTAATAAGACCAGTTTTAGAATGTTATCAGGATAATTAAGTAGAGAGAATACAGAAGTAATAAAAAGAGTACCATTGTTTGTAAGGCAATATCCACAAGAAAGAGTTTCAAATCGAGAAACTTACCATACCTTCATAGTCATTTGAAGTAAAGGCTGAGCACAGTATCCCAAGACTATACTCCTTTACCATTGTGACTTTGTTTTTCCATTGGTTTTTTCCTTCCCTCCATTTTGCAAAGATTTTTCTTTCTTTTCCCCAGGCATCAATAATTAAAGACATAAATGTGCTATGTGAAATTTGTGGTATGTTCTCTTAAAAAGCTTTCTAACTATGTTAAGATAATTAAGCACAAAGATTTTTTAACTATTTTTAATGAAAATTAGAGTAACATGCAATCTACCAACTTCCAAAATAATTTCTACCAACTTCTCTTCCTGCCTTATAAGACATAGCCATATATAAAAAAGTTACCAGTGTCTGCTCTAGCTTTCCGAGTACTAGACAAAGCTCTTTTATAGTTGGAATCTGAATCTGAAAATTTATGCCATTTTGCTGAAAATTTAAGAATAATTCTTTTAAATTTCAAAATAAAGCATCCTTTATTACAAATCAGAAGTATTGCCTTATTAAATAATCAAACCTACCTGAACACTTCAAAATTTTCTTTTTCAACTCAGTGTGACACGCTACATGCCTGTGCTGAATGCTAAAATATATAAAAACATTTTTTTGAATTAAGGTGACCTCAGAAGTCCAAGTATGAATCAATTCGCTGTATTCCTCCAAGATCTATTATAATTCTAGATTATATAAAGAATTCATACTGATCAAGCAACTGTAGATTTATTCCTATGGTAAAGCGTGTTAAAGTGTCTCAGTTGCATTCAGTTTTATTCATATGTATTCACACATTTAAAAACCTTTAACTATTTAAACTGAGTACTTACTGATTGCCATGCTAGTGATTCCATGATCCGATGTTCACAACGTTCTAAATGTTTTATCATTTCCCTTGTCAAGCTAGCTTCTGCCTTGATAAAGCTTTCGATCACTTTGTAAAAATCAAATGCTTTTAAATCAAGTACATTCAGAATCCATGGAAAAGACAAATCTGTTCCGGAATCATGACTCTGGCATGTACTCCCTAGAAGTAAAAGAAGAAACCAGATTTATGTGTGCATTGTCAAAATAATAAACCTTAGGCTCAAGGTCTCATCTACACTAGATTAAAATATTTATTTACTGCCCTAGCAAATAAGGTAGCAAATTTCTATTAAAATGAAAATGTGAAATTTAGGAGTCCAGAGTTAGTATTAAGATAAAAAAAGTTTTGAGAATCACTAAAACTTATATATAGGCCCTGAGGTTATTTTTGACAACATTACCTAAATGCCCCAATTCATTCATTAATAATAGTTTGTTCAGAGAATCTTTATAAATATCTGCTACATATAAGACATTATGCTAGCAATTGGGGGGATTAGACATGTAGTAATTATTGTGAAAACCAGAATAAAGTTCAAAAGAAAGGTTCATTAAGATGTTATAAGAACTCTAAGAAGAGAGAGATCACTTCCAGCTATGGCAATTTCAAGTAAGACTTCAAAGAATAGGTCATATTTGAACTGGACAAGATTTAAACAAGCAGAGATGGGAGAAGGTCATTCCAGGCACAGAGAATAATGTGAACAAAGACACAAATGCAGGAAAACATGGTCAAGGGATGACAAAGTAGCTCAGATTGGCTAGAACTATATGAGGGAAAGTAAAATGAGGTAAGGCTGATTGAATAATATGAAACTAAAAACTTTATTCAGCAAAACTGTCAAACCAATTCAATAAGCATTTATTGGAAACCTACTATGTGCTACGTGGTAGGAACAGAAAGACACAGTTTCTGTCTTTAGGGGGTTTACAAAGGAATAATTACATGTACAGAACTAAGTATGTACAAAATATATATAGTATAAATATAAAGTTAGAATCATAGATTTAGAGCTGGAAGGGATTTTAGAAGTAATTTAGTCCAACACTTTCATTTTACAAATGAGGAAAGTGATTCAACTCTCTAAAGATTATAAGTAACAAAACTGTTACTGATCTGTATTAGTAGTAGGTTAATAATAATAGTTATTATTATAGCTAGCATTTATCGAGCCCTTTAAGGTGCGCAACACTTTTACATGTTATCTCACTTAGTCCTTACAACAGTTCTAGGAGATGAGTGCTGTTATTATCTCTATTTTACAGATGAGGAAACTGAGGCAAACAGAGGTGAAGTAACTTGCCCAGGGTCATAGTATCTAAGGCAGGATTTGAACTCAAGTCTTCCTGACTCCAAGACCAGCTCTCTCTGCACTGTGCTACCTGGCTCTCTCTGCACTGTGCTACCTGGCTATCTCAGGTTATCCCTTGGAGGTCTCTGCATCAATGAAATAAAAGGTTTGGACCCCCCCCCCCCAAAAAAAAGAAAAAAAAAAGAAAAGTAATTTGGGGAAGGGAGAGGGAAAGAAGCAAGTAGGCCACTCAAAAGGTCATGTGCTTTAGGCAGATGAACTGAACAGTTGTATGGATGGAGTGAAGAGGGGAGAGGCTGGATACAGAGGAACCAACAAAGAGAAAATTGTAACAGCCTTGAAAAAGAGGTGAAGAGAGACTAAATTGGGTTGGTTGTACTGTCAGTAGAAGGAAAGAAGTTGACAGACTCAAGAGATGCTGTGGAAGTACAATTAATCATAACACTTGGCAACTGATTAGAAAGGAGGGGAGGGGAGGAAGGGTAAGCGACAGCACAAAACCAAGGATGGCTCGGAAGTTATAAACTGGATAAATGGAAGAATGTTAGTACTTTCATCAGAAAGAGCAGAATCTGGAGGGGGAGAGATGCAGGGTGACCTGCAGGAGGTGGGGGGAAAGGGAGAGGGAAAAAGGAAGAAGAAGGGTATGGAAGAGTTCTGTTTTAAATGGACTGAGTTTGAGATGACTATGGGACTTTTGGTAGAGAGGTCTAGCAGGCAGTTAGTGAAGAACTGGTGCTCAGGAGAGAAATGAGGGCAAGATATATAGATCGGGAAATCAGATGCATAGAGATAACTGAACTCTTGAGAGCTGATACAACAAAGAACTAAAGCGTGGAAAGGGAACAGGGTTTACTGCATAGTCCTAAGGTATACCCTCAAAAAGGAAGATGTAGGGATATGAAAGATGAACCCGCAAAGGTGAGAGAGAAGGAACAGTCAAGCTGGTAAAAAAAGGAACTGGGACAAAACAGTGTTATGAAAACCCAGGAAAGAGAGCGTTTAGAATAGGGGTTCCTAATCTGGGGTTGGTGAACTTTTTAAAAAAATATTTTGATAAACATACTTCAGTGTGATCAGTTTCCTTCGTAATCCTATGTATTTTATCTAATGCATTTAAAAACATCATTTTGAGAAGGGGAATATGCTTCACTATTCTGCCAAAAGGGTTTAAGACAAAAAAAAAAAAAGATTAAGAACCCCTGATCTAAAAGGAGGGAGCTATCAACAGTATCAAAAGCTGCAAAGAGATCAAGAAAGATAAAGAATGAAAAGCAGTCTTGGATATGACATGAATGAAATAACAATATTTTGGAAAACAATTATAATTTTATTGATGACAGTGAAGAATTTTGACTCTTACAAGATGATACATTGGTTACTCCTTCATATAGAAACTGCATAGTGTTTCCAAAGCAAACAGACTGGCCTGACTTTAGTTTTCTTTTAAGTCTTTACATTATCAGAGCTCTTTCAAGGAGTTCAACAGGTACTATCTCATAAATTCTGTATGCCAAGCCTTAGGAGCCAACATATACTTAAATAAATATTAGTCCCTTAAGTAAATTTTTGTTCAGGTGTTATTTTCACAAGTATAGATCCGACTTAAAATCTTAACTTGTTAATAAGAAACAGCAACAAAAAGTAGATCACAGTCTCTTATAAATTCTGAATCTAATAAAAACAGTTTAATTTCCAATTAGACTTACTGCCATATGTGGCCATTACAACCTCGACAGCACAAGCCAACAGGGATGTATGGAAGATGTTATCATTCAGAAGTTTGCTGAAAAGAAAATGATGAAAACATTACTTTTTGTTTAACAAAAAAAGGAAAGCTTCTACTAAAGTTAACAAAATTCACCTGAAGTTCTGAATAGATAAACGTTCTTCTTCCTACAATAAAAAACAAAACAATGTAAACTGGAACTTTTTACATTATAGTGTTAAATTGAATTCACTTCAACAAATATTTATTAAGCACCTATGAGTAAGGCATTATGCTAGGGACAGGGAAATACAAAGATGAAATAAGATATACTGCTTGGCTTGAGTTTAAAATTAAATTAAACAAGTACAAAAATAACTATTGCAAGAGGGATTGAGATAGGCCAAAAAAGAAGTCCACACAAAGTGCTAAATTAATTTCAAAGAGGAAAAAAATCACTTCTAGCTGAATGAAATGAGGGAGGTGACACTAAGTTGAGTCTCAATGGAAGGGATACCAAAAGGCAGAGATGGAGGGAAGGAAGCAAAGAAGGGCAAAGAAAAAGAAGAACATTCCAGAGGTAGGGTATGCTATGAACAAAGGCATAGTGATTGGAAAGAATTGGACAAGAGTGGGGGATAGTGAATAGTACAATCTGGTTGCAATATAGAATGGATGATAGGGAATAGGGTTCAATAAGGGTGAAAATTCAGATTGGATCCAAAAGGCTATGTGCTTTAAAAACCAGAATAAGATCCTTATATTCTATTTAGTAAGCAATAGTGAGGCATTTCCCTGAGGCTTAGAACCTCAGGGACAATTACAACAATGAAGTCTTTGAGAAGCAGAGAAGCCAAGGGTAAGGCAGCTTTCTGGGAGAAGGGAATGAGTTTACTTTTAGAAATACGTTTAAGTTATTGGATAGATTTCTAGACAGATGTATTTGGCAGCCATTGAAATTTACCAAATATAAGACAAGAAAACCAGAAATCTCAGCCTTTGCCTCATCCCTTTGAAAGGGATTAGATCAGAAAACCTCAGAACTATTATACAATCTGGTTCAGGTAGTGGGTGTTGTCAAATCTTTGCAAGTCATAGCAGATCGATCCACTATAGAGGCAACCACGAGCAAGGAAAGCACCAATACCAGGGTTACAGTAACTACTTCCCTTGGTATCTAACTTGATGGTTATACACAGACAGTTTTTTCCCTCTCCTCCCTCTCTTTCACTTTAAGGCCCTGGCACATAGCAGGCACTTAATAAATACTTAGTGATTGATTTGTGTATTCCTAGGAAGGCAGCAGGAAGACTTTTCAATTGTTAAGTTGACAAATAGTTGTCTTGGCACTTCTTCAGCAAGAGTCATCAACTTTTCTATTCTTCTTCTGACCCTTACTAGACGGTCTCTTCACCTGACAGCACATTATCTTATCACCTTGTTCCTCAGAGAATCTAGCTGCTATCTCTTCAGGAACAGCCTCATATCTTTAAGCAGGTCCAAGTGGCAGCTCTTCCCTTTCTTTTAAATACATTCTACTTTACAACATAAAAGAGGTCATGGTCCTGCTTTGAGTCTTTAGATTTCTTTTTCTCTTTTTGTTTTTACACTGAAGCTCTTCTTTATTTGGGGGGTGGGGGAGAGGGTGTTGTTATTGTTGTTTTTCCCATTTGCCTGTTAAGGAACACTATATTCTCCCTGGTAAGTTGGAAAGTACAGAGGTGTTCTTCAAGCCCCATTTACTTTCTCTTAGAGGAAGGAGACAAAGCTGGTGCTTTTATTATTGATTCATTATTAGACTGCTTCAAAAATATAATTCTAATGCATTCTACTCATTACAAAACATTTTCCTTTTCTCCACACTTTCCAAAAGTTAGATCTTCAAACCTTTGTTGTTTTTGTTGAATTTAACTGAATTCTTACTAATAACTCTTAGAGGTAACTTCCCTAGAGATAAAGTGTTTAACCTAATTAGCCCTTTCTCAACACATTTTCACTTCAACAGTCAGTGACAGCAGAACAGTGATGGCAGGCTAGGAGGATACATTAAAGAGTCAAATACCATAATAAGGGTGAAAAATGGATTTGGAATAAGTAAGTGATATGGACAGGCAAATGTTCGAAGAAGGGAACTTCAGAGGTTCATAATCTTGAAAGTAGAACAGTCTTAAATGCTGAGGTAAAAGCTGTGACTACCTTTTGGGTGTCTGAAGTAGAAGAGAAACAGAGATTATGGAAGTTAAAACAGTTCAGGGAACTATGTGGGTAGGGTCTTAAAAGAGGTATTATCATGGATAATGAAATCTCTAAGAATGATGGCAGAAATAAAGAGAAAAAGGTAGATATGAAAGTCTTTGAGAAAGGTTGGAGAGTAGAGTAGAGGCTGGTAGATTATAGACAGTGATTAAGAGAGAATGATATCATCAGATAGCATGGATTTCAATTCTAATATATTAGCTTTCACTTACTGATTTAAGCATAGATTCCATAACTCTGTAGTACAATCGCACTCCAAGTTTGTATCGCTTTAAAAAAACACACACAAACACAAAAAGTGTGAGATACCACTGTTTTAGAAAAAACACAGAAAGGATGGGAGATCTTGAAATACAGTAATGACCACTCAAAGAAACAGGGCTGCCAATGGGTCATGAAAGCTAAAAGTAGAAAAACTAAAGAATAACAATGTTCACTATATAAAAAAATGATGTTTCTAACCCATCATTGATAGATCATATTTTATTGTGCTGTTACTAGCAATTGTAGATTTGTACTAATGGTTTTCTGTTTTCTTACCAAATCTACCAGGTAGTCATTTGTAAAAAAGCTGGCTAAATTAATGGATGTGGGCTTTGGCCATGAAACAGATTAGAGTTTACCAGCACATACAAAGTTTGAACCTGGCTTTGGATTTTTTCCCTCATTACTACCACGATTTAACCGGAGGGACTGGTTCAGTAGCCAAGTTTATTTTGGGATAGAAATACACATAGTACATCCCACTATTCCAAAAAGTAAACATACACCACATATTTCTACCTCAGAGGATTTACAGTTATTCTGTAAAAGCAGTGATGGAAGAAAAATGTAATCAAACCTCACACCTTAGAAGTTATGGCCTCTCATATATATACTGCACTTCATACTTTTCAAAAGACTTTAGAGTACATGCGTCTTCTCCCACCACAACAACCCCACATAACTGTCACCCTCATTTAGTAAAGGAAAAAACTGAATCTAAGTACAGATAAATGTTATGCCCAAGGTCACAAAACGAATTAATGTTTAAGCCATGCCTAGAACCCAAATTTCCTGATTCCTAACCTATCTATTGAACCATGATACCTGCAAAGAATCATAACAAACAAATGAATTAAGTGGATTCCTATTGTCTCATTTTCTGATTACTGCCCCAAAGTAAGGTATTTAGTCAGCTGAGGTCACAAGAGGAGGATAGCTGGGAGTAGCTTTAAATTACACCTTCTTTTGAGAAAAGAATAATAGCTTAATAAGCTTTACTTGGTAGTATTAATTAATCAATAAGCATTTACTAAACACCTACACTGTACCAGGCATTCTACTAGGTAATAAGCAAAAAGACAAACTGGAATTGTTACCTGTGATCCAATTTCTGCACATCCCTGTCCAACAGCCTCAGCAAATTTCTCTTTAAAGATGCGTCCAATATTCTCTACTCTTTTCAGGATACTTTCCTTAGGATTGACTGTGCAATTCTTCAAAGAAAAACAATAGCACAAAACAATATCTTCAATTTTTTCATGTTTACTGCAGATGAAGTTGTTTCAGAAAAAACTACATAATATTCCCAAGTATGTACACAGAATAAATTTAAATACTACTAATGACTGAGAAGATTGAGTATCCAAAGAAAGTAGCATCTGATTAATCTATCATCAATCCAAAAAGATCTGGTACACTTTTAAAATATTTTAACTGAATTATACTTTAATCTACAAAATACAAATCAAAGTCAAATAAATTATCTTAGTAGCTTTTCCCAATTTGGAATTTTGTCAGCTCTATGGGGAAAATCAGTCAGTCAATAAGCATTTATTAAGTTCCTACTATGTGCTAGGCATTTAATAAGTGCTAGGAATACAAAGAAAGGCAACAGATAGTTCCGGCTCACGTGGGAGACAACATGTAAATAACTATGTACAAAAAAGCTCTATACAGGATGAATAGGAAATAATCAACAAAAGGAAGGCACTAGAATTAAGAGGGACTAGGAAAGGCTTCTGTGAAAGGTAGATTTTAAGTGGGACTTGAAAGAAGCCAGAGAAGCCAGGAGGCGAAGATGAAAGTCAGCATTCCAGGTATAGGGACAGCCAGTGAAAATGTCCTGTTGCCAGAGATGAAGTGTCTTCTTGTTTGGAAAACAGCAAGGAAACTGGTATCGCTGGATCAATAAGTAAGTAGGGGATACATAAGAAGACTAGAAAGGAGGGGGATTATGAATTTTGAGGGAGTTAGGTTATGAAGGGAAAGGACTGTATCTTTTCTAAATGCTGATAAAGTAGATACTTAACATTGGTTGAATGTATGAATCATCTAACCATTTGTCATGAAGCACAAAATAGGGAAGGGGTCACAATATTTATGCTGCATTTTTATAGAATTTATCTCAAAGGTCAAAACAGAAGAAAAAGACCAAGAGGGTTTACTACTCAATTTTTGTTTTAAAACATCCATTTTACTCTTTTATAGCATAAAATGAAGCATCCACATTCCATTTATATTGCTAAGAACTACAATATGCTTTTGAAGCACTTTAAAAAAAAAAAGTGAACTAAATGCCAAAATGCTCTACATAGCCAAGAAATCTAAGGAAATATTATTAATTATCTAAGGAATATTCCTTAATAATTAAAGAATTATTAGCTATGACTTGATTAATGCTACATAGTAATTTATTTGTTTATTTATTTATTTTTAGGCAATTGGGGTTAAGTGATTTGCCCAGGGTCACACAGCTAGAAAGTAACAAGTGTTTGGTCTGAGGCCGGATTTGAACTCAGGTCCTCCTGACTTCAGGGCCAGTGTCTATCCACTATGCCACCTAGATGCTCCCTACATAGTAATTTAAAGACAGTCACAAATAAATCCTGAAAATCCTAGATATCTAATGTTCTAACTTCCAGATTCAGATTTCTTCATAAAATATCTTAAATAAATGTTGATTCATACATTGCCATCAAAACAGAAAACATTTTGACTCAAGGCAGACTGAAATCTTACATTGAAATAAGAGATAAGATTTTCTGATGGTTGATCACTTGCTGAATTTAGTATCATCACCAACTGTTGGATAGTATTCATGACAGCCCTGAAGACAAAAAAAAATAGGAAGTAAAAATGCTAAGTCCTAAAGAAATAGTAAAAGGAGAAGTTACTTATCTGACAAACTTAAACCTGATCATTAAACTCAGTATTTCAATTTGTGTTCCACCAGCTTCCTAAAACACATACTACACAAAGAACTGTATGAATAGCCACTATTTAAAAGATAATTAAATTGGACATCTATCTCAATATATTAACTAATATATTTCTACATGCATAATCCATTTATTAATAAAATTATATCAGTAAGAAATTTAACAAATTTTTAAATATGATATCTTGTCTTAGGGGAAAATTAGTTAAACTGATATAAAGTGGTACCATTTAAACATGAACAACTTTCAATAAAGTATTAAAAGCAATTCTACTGGTTAAAGTAGTATTGTGGTAGAGTCCCCCTTATTTGAGACCTTCAAAATGAATACATAAAGAAATATATAAACATTAGTCCCAGATAATTTCAGCTTCACTTGAAGGTGATTCTCCTCAAATCCCTCCTAGCTTTGGTTTTACTTCAAATAGTTTCTATTTTTTGAGATAACATATATATGGCAAGCATTTTAAGAACTCTAAAGCACTCTATATAAATGTGCTTTAAAACTAATTTGAAAATTGTGGATAGGAGATAAGTTGAGGAAAAGTATGTCTAATTATAGAGGATAAGAAAATGTTTAACTGGAAGGTACATCAGAAAGTCAATCTTTTCAGGAGCAATTAAGTCATCTGTCCAGGGTCACACAGCTAAGTTCAATAGAAAGGCCCAACCGAGAAACCAGTTCTCTTGATTCTCAGGTCAATTATCAGGTGATTTCCCACTATGTTCCATGTATTTAAGCACCAATAAAATAGTAAACACTACATACAGAATAATAGTAAAAAGTTAAAAAAAATAGAAGACCTATACCTAACAGGAGTCTGTGGAGGAATCAAAGGCATGTCTTCATCAGGATGATTTTTTCTTGGCGTCCTCTCCATTTCAAAACTAAAAAAGGACAAAAACGTCACTATCTCACACAAAGTTCTTGTTCCTGAAAAGAACTGAACTGCTGAAACTTACAAGTTCTTCCATACAGGTTAAAAGAATAAAACAATACTGTCTTCAATCAATCAACTCTTATTTATTGTTTAATTGAATTGTACAAAGAAAACTGCAATATAAATGATAGTATATGGCCCCATGAATAATCTGCCTGAATGTAACATCAGGCATGTCTGCTTTAACTATTTCTCTTTGTTACAAGAATTCTATTACATGTGTGTGAGCAGAGAATGAAGAAGGAACCATATTGAGAAGTGACTGGTATTTTTTAAAATCAACAAAACACAAAAATAAAGCTGCATGAAAAAGAATTATGATCTCTGATTTTAGCAGAGTTATTTATATATGTATTTCAAGAAAATATTTTACTAGGTACCTGAAATGTAGATATAATAATAATCTTCTAAGAACCTAAGTGTCAGATTCATTTTCTCCTTAATAGTACTATTAAACTAACTAAGGTTCAAAAAACATAAAAGCTCATCTTCTATCATGATGTCATTCTTAAGTTACAGGAGAAACCATATTTTGAAAGGAAGTATTGTTTTAACTTAGGTGATATGCTGAATTTAACTGTACTAAGATTTTTGGAATACCCCATATAAAACAATTTCATGCTAGAGGCTCGTCACAGATAGAATTTCACATGAAAATGAAAGGAGATACTAAAGTGCAATATGATCACAAAATCAAAATATTCTACAGTATTTTCAAGAATTCAGTTATTTTTAAAAACTTGATTTTATTTATGTAAGAATTTGAGAGGAGACTTTTAAGTTTAAAAAGTGACCAAGTAAGGAAATAGTTGGAAGAATATTTTTGATAGTATCTTTAAAAAAAAAACCAAAAAACTCTTAGATATTTGAAAAACATACAAAAGGAAAGTTGTTGATATATTTGGTTTGAAAAAATAGAAGTCATTTCCCCCCACCCCCATATAATCCTATAAATGAGAAGAAGAAAAGGAAGGGTGAAAAGGAGTACTCTAGTTGTAAAATCCAAATATAATAATAACCTTCCTTTGGAACATTTGTTAATGGCCAAGGATTTTTTTTTGTTAAGTTACTCTAAATAACATTTCTATCTAAATTGCCTACTAAAATACATGCCAGTAAAACTAGCATATTGTCAACCTTTTTGGGTTGCTAGTTTCATCCTTTTAAGATATCTAAAGAATATCAACAAATTAAAATAAAAATTTGCCTTTCACAAACAGAATTATAAAAATATGGCATACCTATCAATAGAATCAACTTGAAGAGTTTTATCATGATCCAGAAAGAGTCTTGCATCCATATCTTTGTTTTTAAGGTAAATTTCTTCATATTGTTTAGAGAGATTTTCAACCTCAAAAAAAAGAGAAAGTTAATAATATTTTAAATGAATTATAGACATATATATATCAATACATGGAAGCATGTCTTAATTCAAGAATTTTAACAATAATAAAATGTGCATTGAATTTTATATTATACATTAGAAATCCATGCAGTATAAATAAGGTTGCTCTAAAGATGATTTGTAAAAAATACATATTTAAAATATATAACTTCAAGTTTTTCAGGCTAATATATGTTGATACATTGGCTAATTAACCTATAAAGCAACCAATAAAGTATATCACAGTAGATTTGGTTTTTTGTTTTTAATCCCCCCAAAAATGCCAAGATCCAGCAAACAATACCCAAAATCAAGTAATCTAATTCTCATGAATATGATACACTTTAAATCTTTTCAATATGTAGTCATTTTTCAAACCCTTAAAAAGTCTGTGTATATCCCAATAGTATTCTCATAATCCTCAGGCTTCAAGTAACTCCCTTCAGCTAAACATCTCAGAGATGTACTCAGACAATACAAGTACCCTCAACAGAATACGACCCACTCTACAAAATCCTAAATGTTGACACATACTTCTCAACTGCCTCAATCATAGTATTACTTACATTAACTCTAGCCATTAATTTTCTTCTCCTAAAATATGTAATTGATTTTTTCTTTTCTTTTCTTTTTTTTTAGGCAATTGGGGTCATGTGTCTTGTCCAGAATCACACAGCTCGTTGTGTCTAAGGCCAGATTTGAGCTCAGGTCCTCCTGACTCCAGGGCTGGTGCTCTATTCACTGTGCCATCTAGCTGCCCCTGATTTTTAAAATTATAACTTAAATCCAATGTTTCCTGAGTAGATGTTTTGGGTTCACTTCTATTGCTATTTATCAGACTAGTGGTAGGGGGAGAATATTGTGAATAGGGAGGAATGCAGAAATGTTCTAAAAGAGGTATTATGGAGGAAAAATGTTTAATTATTTAAATATATTTTATTTTGAATTATATGAAGAAATAAACATCTAATCCAGGGCTTCTTAACCTTTTTTTTCCATCATGGACTCCTTTGGTCTAACAAAATCTACGTACCTTTTCTCAGATAACGTTGTTAAATGCATAAAATAAATTACATAGATTACAAAGGAAACCATTTATACTGAAATAGTTAACAATTTTTTTTTTAACAACTACAGAGACTCCAGGTTAAGCATTCCTGAATTATAATCCCTTTAAAAAAATGAAGGAAACAACTGCAGAGACTCCAGGTTAAGCATTCCTGAATTATAATCCCTTAAAAAAAATGAAGGAAACAACTTCAAATGAAGAAATTTAGAGTACCTGGATAACAAAAACAACATCACCTGCTACTCCTTAAAGGAAGTTCAGAAGCCCTTGAAAGAAAGCAGACAGACACATAAACCTGTTTCTTTGTAATGTAAAGAAACTATTTCTCTGAAAGGGAGGCTAAAGAATATAGGATTATGACAGAGAATTTAAGAGCCAAAGAATCACTTGGGGGCATTTAGACCTCCAGTACCAAAAAGTCTCAAAAGAAAAATGTAATACTTGTTTTCAACAACAGCTTATATTTAGCTCCTGAAAACAATGAAACTGGCATGGAACCACTAGCAGGTTTTGTTTTTTTACATGTTGTCTCCCCCCAAAGAACACAAATTCATCCCCAACACTTAGTGCAGTAAGTGGAACATAGTAGGTGCATATTAAAAAGTGCTTGCGGAATGAATAATGTTTTTATCACTTGTAACATTCTTACTAATTATTTCTATCAAAATTAAAATAATCTGAAAATAAATCTGAAATGAGATCACTTCTCTCCCAATTTGACATTCTATTGGCCAATTCTCTGATAACATCAATGCAATTCTTCTGAACTCTGATCATCAGATACAACCACTTTCTCTGTTACTGTTTATGTATAGGAATGTTTGTGTTTATTCAGTCAGTCAGTAATCATTTATTAAGCACTTACTATGTGCCAGGCATTCTGCTAAGCAGTAGGAATACAAAGAAAGTAAAAAAAATAGGCCTTGCCCTCAAGAAGCTTACATTCAAACGGTAGAGAAAACATGTAAATAACTAGGTACATACTAACACACAGCAAGTAGATGGAAGGTAGTCTGAAAATAGAGACATTAGGAGCTGGGGAGGACTGGAAATACCTCCTCTGGAAGATGAGGCGTGAGCTGAGTCTTGAGGGAAGCCAGGGAAACTAGAAGGCAGAGGGAAGGGGGCAGAGCATTTCTGGAATCAGTGCAGCCAATGCAAAGGTATGGAGATCGGTGATGGAATGTTGTATTCAAAGAACTGCAAGTAAGCTAGCTCACAGAATGTGTGGAGAGGAGTTAAGTATAAGAAGACTAGAAAGGCAGGAAGGGGTCAGGTTATGAAGAGCTTTAGATACCAGAGATCAAATTTGATACCAGAGTTGAGAAGGAGCCACTAGAACTCAATGGAAGGGAGTGGAGGTGGCTGTTAGAGTGACATGGTTAAACTTACGCTTTAGAAAAATCACCTTGGCCCTTGAGTAGAGGATGGAGTAGAGGGAGGAGAGACTTGAAGCACTAGGAAAGAGGTGATGAGGGCCTGAATTAGGGTTGTGTTTTTGGATATGGAGAGACAGAAATACATATGTCAGGTGTTGTAAAGGGGAAAATGACATGGTTTAGCAACAGTCAGTCAGAGTGAGGAGTGAAGATGACACCAAGGTTGGGGGCTTGGGTAATTAGGAGAATGGTGCTATCTTAAATAGTAATAGGGAAGTTAGGAAAGGAGAAGTTTTGAGGAGGAAAGATAATGAGTTCTGTTTGAAGATGCCTATGAGACATCTAGTTCAAAATGTCCAAGAGGTAGTTGGAGATGTGTGCTTACAGCCCAGCAGAGAGACTAGGGTTAGACACAAGGACTGGAGAATCATGTGCACTGGATAATTGAACCCATGAGAGATAATGAGCTCACCAAGTCAGTACTACAAAGCAAAAAGGACTATCTTAGGAGAACATCTATGATTAGTGAGTGTGACATGAATGAAGAATCAATAGAAACTAAGAAGTAGTAGGACAGAATGAGGAGAACCAGAAGAAAGCAGCGTCACAAAAACCTAGAGAGGAAAGAGTGTCCAGGAGGTGATCAACACTGTTAAGTGCTACAGACATGTAAAAAAGGATGAAGATTGAGAACAGGCCATTAGACTTAGTAATGAAGAGATCACTGGCAACTGTGAAGAGGGCAGTTTCATTTGAATGATTTGGTCAGAAGCCAAGGTATCAAGATTAGGACTAGGGGGGTGGAGCCAAGATGGCAGAGTAAAAGCAGTGACTTGCTTGAGGTCTCCCCCAAAACCCTCCAAATACCTATAAAAAGCGGCTCTAAACAAATTCTAAAACAGCAGCACCCACAAATAGACAGAGTGAAACAAATTTACAGCCCAAGACAGCCTGGATAGTTGATCAAAAAGGTATATTGCGCCGGACAGGGAGAGGAGAACAGTTTGGCGTGGATGCACAGGCAAGGCAGGCCTCAGCGAACCTGGAGCTGGCCTTAGAGGAATTGAATTGAGGACAGCTGTGGCAGTTTCCAGACTTCTCAACTCACAAACACCAAAGACAATTTAGAAGGTCAGTAGGAAAGTCTGTGACTGTGATGAGAGAGAGAAGCTTTGTCCCAGCCCCAGTCCCCGGTGCAACCGCAGGGCAGCAGCTACTTCTGGAGCTTCCAGTCCACAGACTGAGGGGGAATTGAGTGGCTGATCAGAGGGGGATTGCAGGGATCTCTCTGCTGGTGCAGGATTCTCTCACTTTGCCCGCGATTGGATCTAGGTCACAGTTCTGGGTGGTGGTCCAGGGGCGAGGAAGAGTGCTGGCGTGGTGGAGCTTGTAGTGGTGATGGAGAAGAAATCCTCCTCACAGTTCCAAGGCAGAAAAGAGTGCTCGTGGTCAGCCATAGACCACAGCACAGTCCAGGAAAGGAGTAAACACTTCGCCCCTTATCATACCACCCTGGAAGAACTGAAAATTTACAGGTCCATAAAAGTATCTCTGAAAACAGCTGCACAAAAACCCCAAAACTTGGGACAGTACATTCTCCACACTGGAAGCAGACCCCCACCTTAACAAAGAGTTTAAAACTCAAGTAAATGGCTAGGATCATGAATAAACAAAGGAGAAAAAAAAAGTCAGACCATAGAATCTTTCTTTGGTAACAAAGAAGATCAAAACATACAACCAGAAGAAGACAACAAAGTCAAAGCTCCTACATCCAAAGCCTCCAAGAAAAATGTGAATCAGTCCCAGGCCATGGAAGAGCTCAAAAAGGTGTTTGAGAATCAAGAAAGAGAAGTGGAGGAAAAACTGGGAAGAGAAATGAGAGTGATGCAAGAAAATCAAGAAAAACAAGTCAACAGCTTGCTAAAGGAGACCCAAAAAAAATACTGAAGAAAATAACACCTTAAAAAATAGCCTAACCCAAATGACAAAAGAGGTCCAAAAAGCCAATGAGAATGCCCTAAAAAGAAAAATTGGCCAAATGGAAAAGGAAGTCCAAAAGCATGCTGAAGAAAATTCTTCCTTAAAAATTAGAATGGAGAAATTGGAAGCTAGTGACTTTATGAGAAATCAAGACACTGTAAAACAAATCCAAAAGAATGAAAAAATAGAAGACAATGTGAAATATATCATTCAAAAAACAACTGACCTGGAAAATAGATCCAGGAGAGAGAATTTAAAAATGATTGGACTATCTGAAAGCCATGATCAATAAAAGAAAAAAAAAAAGATTAGGAATAGAGCAAAAATAGAAACACCTAGTATAGATAATTTTCTTAAAGAGCTGAGGAGAGATATAGTGGGGAGGATAGGATCAATTGAGGGATTTTTAAGAATAAGGGAGACATGAGCATGTTTTAGGAAGCTGGGAAGAAAGCAGCAGTTACGGAGAAATTGAAAGAGAGTGAAGACAAAAAGTGGGTTCAATTTTCTGGAAAAGATTGTGGGGGGAGGGAGATCCAAGTGTGCATGTAGAAGAGTTAGCTTTGGCAAGGAGAAGGGCGAGAAGTGGCCAATTAATAAACATTTATTAAGCGCCTACTAAGTGCCAAGCACTGTGCAAAGAGCTGGTGATACAAATACATAGACAGTCCCTGCCTTCAAGAAACAATAGCAGAAGACAACACACAAAATGAAGCTGAAGGAGAGTCAGAGACAAAAGGTAGTCAGAATGAGGGCCTGATGAAGTTCAGAGTAATGCAGCCAGGTGGGCTGAAGGTTTTGGAAGGAACAGGAGTTTCAGGGTTGGCTTTGGTAAGGAGAAGGGCCATCTCTTCATTATAAACAACAGTGAAGTGGGAAAGGGGAGAGGAAGATGTCTGAATATGAGATGAAGAAGGGAGAAAGGGAGCTCTTGGCAAATGGCGTCTAAGTTTTAATGGGGCAAGATCTTCAGTTGAGAGAGTAGAAGCTGTACCATGGGAAGCTAGAAGAGGACTAGGAAAGTTTAAAACAGCTGCCATGGAGAACAGTAAAATGAATCCATTAGAGAGGAATAGGATGTTTCCCTCACTGCCTTGAGGGCCCAGTTGAGATTAGAATCATAGGATGAAAGATTGTTATATTTTTCCAGCTCTTTGAATCCAACCTTCCCTCATGTTACAGATGTGGAAACTGAGGCCCAAAGGAGTTAAGGGATTGTTAAGGGGGTATGAGTTGGGAGGGGGAAGAGAATAAGAATTTATATAGCACTTACTTAGTATCAGACATTGTGCTAAGCACTAGTTAAGTTTCTAATACTTTTTAAAAGAGAGAAAAGAAACTATTTCTCTCTCTTTCCAATTCATGTTATTACCCCAGTAATGTTCTTCTACTCTATGGCAATTTTAAAATAAAGAAACAATTTTTTAAAAAGTGCTATGGCATATCAATTTGAAATTAAATCTTAACATTTATATACAAGGCAGAAATCTCTCCTTAGAATAATTTTTATTTCAAAATTTAAGCTGTCATTTCTGTTTATAAAGTTGCCCACAGGTTTATTCCCATCCACAATACAGCAAAGACATTATCCATGCTATTTTCTGCATGTTGAATAATTACATAAATGAAAAAGAACAGTTTCATTAAACCAAAGTTTCAAGTAACATTTTTTTTTAAATTAAGCTTAAGAAAAAAAAGTCACTAAGGTGAAAATTATAGGGTCATTTTGGGTGTGTTAAGCAGACATTTATTCATAAATGTTTCCAGGACTTGGCATTTGAAGGGGCAAGCAAAATCCCATGCAATCAGTTTCAAGAGAAATTCAAGAGATTAAAAATTTCATGATGTTGTACACTGCAAATTATTTTTAAATCACCATATTAATGTTAGCATTTGAAATATACAGTAAACATGTATAGCACATTTGGCCATCTGTTGTCTTCAAAGAGCTATTATTACTATTGTAATACCTCAGATGGGATGGCACTTGTGCTTTCTTCCCTCACTTCCTCTCCTTTCCCTACCTCCCTAGAGGACATGCTACTACTTGTATTGAAGCTTTGCTGCATCTGTAGAGCAGTTTGTGTATAGCAATAATTAATCACAAATTTAAAACTAAACATGGAAAAATTACTCAATCACATCAACTACAATCTGATAAGTTTATTTCTTCTTTTTTCCCATGATTCTATACCATAATTTCTAATAACCCGCTTTACCTTTCCTCTCTGCCTTCTACTGCTCATAAATTAAAAGTTTAATTTAATCTTTACTTACCTACTAAAATTTCTTCAAAGCAGTTAGTACATTGTATTTGATATATAAATGTATTTAAAGAATATATTTAATAGAACTCAACTCACCTAGAATTTAGAATAACTTCCAAATGCCCAATTTGCTTTACATGTTACACAATACACATGCCATTATCTAAATTACAAAGTCAAAAAGCATCATTCCACAAAATCGGAATGATTTTAGCTATGATTCTCAATATAGCTATGAATTACAATAATGTCTTAGTAACTAAAATATTTAGATTTGAATACATAAAATGATTTGCCAGAACCTTCCCACTGTGCTCCCCTTCTCTGCCCACAATAGTCATTCTAAAGTGAGCAGTAATAATATTATCACAAAATACTCAGTGGACCTCACAAGCTCTACTACCCTCACCTTATCTCTTCCCCTCTCTATCACTTTAGTCACAATTGGTGTTAGGCTAAGTATTTCATCAATCAGTATTTCTCTCTACAACTTTTCTAGGTTAACTATTTGCTTCCTTCACCTCCTAAAGTTACTTCCCAGGACTAGTAATTCCAAACCCCATCTTCCTGCTCACTTTACAAAACTCGGCCTGATGTTTTCTTTTATCCCAAAGTCCAGCCAAACCACCCATCCCAAAGGGCACTCTTGCTTCTGCTCAGTCATCTCCCCACTGTGAAAGTATAAAGGAGGAGACAGAAATGGATCCTTCAATCCTCCTAACTCAACAGAGGAATCAACAAGATTCAAATTAGAGTGTGGGGTCAGGAGACAAGAAAGTGATAGAAAACCGTAAAGCTAGAATATAAAGTTAAACTGCAAAAACAAACAAACAAACAAACAAAAAAAATGCCCAATGTATTTGGACAAAGAGTTTCTGAGCAGGAAGGTCTCATTTGGCAAATGCCTCTTCTACATAAACCTACTAAAAGAGGAAAAAGTAGAAATTATAAAGTAAAAGCCCTGGGCTGAGTTCCAAGGGGTCGTATTATCCTAAAACTAACTAAACAGGACCAGAGTCAATACAACACTTTTCGTTTCTCTGTATTTGCCTTTGTACTTCAAATATGAAATAAAACTTCAAAGGAAATGTAAAATAATCACTTTTTGAATTATAACATATATAAAGATGTTTAGCAAAAATATTTTAAAACATTAAACACTTTCAAATGAAAACTAGAAATTTAGAAGTCTTAATCTGATGCTTTAAAGAAAACTATAGGGAGACTAATAAAGACAATACTTAGGAAATTTACAAATATGGCATAATTCTTATTTATATCTTACATGCAAAAGGCTTTTTTTGCACAACATATAGCAATCATTCTTCCAGATAAAATTTCTTTACTTGGCTATAAGATATGATATACTGCAAAATATATTCAAGAATGTTAGAAAACTATAATAAATCACAAGATATATCAATTTTTGGGGGAAAAAAATCTTTTAGCTTACCTCTGGTAATCCATTAGAAGCTGCAATACCAAGAGACTTCAGGAAGGGTAGAAAGTTTTTGAAATATACATTTTTTACCTGAAGGAAATCAAGTTACAACATTACCACTAAGATTATTTTTAAAATGTAATTATTCACTTTCCATTTGCTTCAATTCTATCATTTATATTAACTTTAGAAACACTAGAATCAAAGGATAATTATCTACATATTTGGCTAATAATGATACATTACAGCTAATACTTGGAAGCAACCCCTGCAGAAACGTGGCCTGGCAACTGCTCCCTGAAGATGCTACAACCACAGCTACTAAGGACTCAAAAATGCAAGTTCTTATCACCAAAGTCCTTGGCATTGCAAATGGTTCAGCATCAGAAACTGACATGATTTATCAGTAAAAATGACATGAAAGAAGAGGAACTACTATCTGCTTCACTGCTGTACTCTGAGGACCATGAGACCTTTCCATCTGATTTACAGCTACAAACTTCCATATCTATTGTCTTTCCCATTAGAACATGAGCTCCTTGAGAGAATGAACTACCTGACTTTTCTAATTGTGACCCCAGTGCTTAGCATAGCACTTTGAACACAGTAGGCACTTAATAAATGTTTTATTCATTCATTCATAAGTAATATTCAATTACTGTTGATTCTCAACAATCAAACTTATGACTTATGATAGGCAAATTTTAATTTTTAGACTAGTTTTCTCTCTGCCACCTCAATAAGCTTCTGGGTCATTTTCCTCACTGGTCATTTGATGTCTACTCAGTGAACAGATAAATTTAATAGCCTAACCAAAGCATATTTAAGTTAATCTATCCAAAAAACCTCTTAATTTCAAAGCTAAGGATGCTCATCTTTGGGAGATCTCTTCATCTTTCAAGATCCATCAGCCTTGGTATTCACACCTCACCTCTGCCCCTCTGATTGAAGGGTGAAGCCAGGAACTCTAAACTTTTCTTTTTAGGAAGGGACTCAGGGATAAGAATTCACTATTTGACAAAAACTGCTGGGAAAACAGGAAAACAACATGGCAGAAACTGGGTATACACCAACATCTTACACCGTAAATCAAGATATGGTGAAAATAGGTATATGAATTAGACATAAAGGGTGATGCCATAAGCAAATTAGAAGGGCAAGGAATAGTCTACCTGTCAGATCTATGGAGAAGGGAAGAATTTATGACCAAACAAGAGATAGACAGCATTACAAAATGGAAAACAGATAATTTTGATTAAAGTTTCTGCACAAACAAAACCAATGCAACCAAGATCAGAAGGAAAGCAGAAAGATGAGAAACAATCTTTATACAAGTGTCTCTGATTACATGCCTCATTTCTCAAATGTTGACTCAAACTGAGTCAAACTTATAAGACTATAAGCCATTCCCCAATTGATAAATGATCAAAAGATATGAACAAGCTGTTTTCAGATGAAGAAATCAAAGTTATCTATAATCATATGAAAAAGTGCTCTAAATCACTTTTAATTAGAGAAATGCAAATTAGAACAACTCTGATGTACTACCTCATACCTATCAGAGTAGCTAACATGACAAAAAAGTGAAATAATAAATGTTGGACAGGATGTAGGAAAATTGGGACACATGTACTGCTGGTAGAGTCATGAACTGATCCAACCATTCTGGAGCGCAATTTGGAACGATGCCCCAAGGGCAATCAAACTATGTATACCCTTTGATCTAGCAATAACACCAATAGATCCGTATACCAAAGAGATCACAAAAAAGGGAAAAAGGATCCACATGTATAAAAATATTTATAGCAGCTCTTTTTCTAGTGGCAAAAAATTGGAAATTGAAGGGATGCCCATCATTGGGGAATGGCTAAACAAGCTGTGGTATATGAATGTAATGGAATACTACTGTGCAATAAGAAATGGTGAGTAAGGGAATTTCAGAAAAACCTGGAAAGCCTTGTATGAATTGATAATGAAATGAGCAGAACCAGGAAAACATTGTACACAGTAACAGCAACACTGTGTGATGATCAGCTATGAATGACTTAGCTCTCCTCAGCAAAATAATGATGACAGACAATTACAAAGGACTCATGACAGAAAATGCTATCCACATCCAGAGAAAGAACTGATGTACTCAATGCAGATCAAAGCATATTATTTTCACTTTAATTTTCACGTGGTTTTTCTCCTTTTGGTCCATTTGATCTTCCATAAATGTGACTAATATGGAAATATGTTTTACATGATTGCACATATATAACCTACATAAAATTGCTAACCATTTTAGGGGGAGGGGAGGGAAGGAGGGAGAAAAATTTTAAACTCAAAATTTTTAAAAAATGAATGGTAGGGGCAGCTAGGCAGTGCAGTGGATAGACTACCAGCCCTGAAGTCAGGAGGACCTGAGTTCAAATCCGGCCTCAGACCAAACACTTGACACTTACTAGCTGTGTGACCCTGGGCAAGTCACCTGACCCCAATTGCCTAAAAAAAAAAAAATTAAAAAAAAAGTGAATGGTAAAAACTGCCTTTACATATAATTGAAAAAAACCCTATAAAAAAATTTTTTTAAATGAAGGAACCCAGGCCAGTCATCTCTTCATTTCCCATAGCTTTGCATTCTTTTGGACTTCTTTGGACTTCACCATGCCCCCTTTCTTCCCCCAATTTTCAGCTTCCTTTTGGATGTTGTCTTCCCCCATTAGATTTTAAGCTCCTTGATGCAGCAGGGACCATGTCTTTTTTTTGGATTTGGCACATAATAGTAAATATTAATCAATGTTTATGGACAAACTGGCTGATCCTCTCCTCTCCTCAAACCCCTCCCCATCAATGACTACTGTTTGTTGCAATAGGATAGAAGATGAGAAGGGGTGTGGAGTGTGCAGACAGAATATCTGCTGCAGAAAGGTAATCCCTGTGAAATTCCCAACAACAAGCCTGTGAGTCAGTTTGTGTACCCCTGATTAAGTATGGAGGCTAGCAGGGAAAAGTGAAAAGTAAGGACATTCAGGAGAGTTACCCAGAGATGCCACTGCTAGGCATATATCCCAAGGATATCAATGACAAAAAGACAGGTTCCACATAGAGCAAAATATTTATCAGAGGATTTTTTGTCATCAGAAAAGAACTAGAAACAAAGTATATATATTTACTGACATACCAAAGAAAACACTACACACAATGACTACAACAAAACAATCAAAACTGAATATTACAAAATTATAATGACTAAGCTTGGCCCCAAGAAGAAGTAAGAGAAGACAATTCCCTCCTCTCCTTTGCAGAGTTGCAAATCCACAGGTGCGAACATCACATTTAACACCAAGTCTTTTTTTTTTTAATCGTGTTTAATGTGGTTTTCCTTATATAAATATAAGGAAATATATATATAAAATATATATATAAATCATGTTTAATGTGGTTTTCTTCCTTTAGAGAGGGCAGAAACTGGACTCTCAATTCACTTCATTTTCCATCTGATGTTAAGGATACAGCACAGCAAGCTTGCTGCTGCTGCCACCCCTCCATAAGTTTATCACTTCTAAACTCACCAGCAAGCTGCTATATCAAGTTTTAATTAACATCACCACTCTCAGCCTCCTCTCCCCTCTGATTAGAGGGCTAGAGGATGGAAGATTGAACCCCTCCCAGAAACTGGATTCTCAGCTCAAACTACTTAGTATCTACAGCTCTGCTGGGTCTCAACTCCACAGAACAAGACACCCTAGTGATGGGTCTCCACTGGTGTCCCATTGCCACCTCCCGCCCCCAGCCTTCCTGCCTCCTTTTTGTATGTTGTCTCCCCTTCAGATTATAAGCTCCTTTATGGGAGGGACTGTCTTTCTTTTTATTAATTCTATCTCCAGTGCTTACCACAGTGCCTAGCACATAGTAGGCATTTAATAAATGTTTATTAGATTGGATATAAAAACCAAAGACAGCAATAAAAACTTATTCTTTAAAAAAGTTTGATATAATTATATGCATCACATACACAGAACAAAAAACCTATGGTAAAGCAAAATTTGCACCTAGATCTAATTTTACTTTCAAAGAAAATGATGTAAAAATTACCTCATCTATATTACATTCATGCTCTTTACAAAGAACTTCAATGACTCTTGTATCAGTCTCTGGTTGTCGTGCTATCCGTGCACTCCTGTTTTGACCTCGCCTTGGTGTTCTGGGTGAACCATTAATAGATAATGTACTCACTGCGGTTTCTGTAATAACAAAATAGGCCATAAATTGTAATGAAATATTTGACATATAACAGAACTTATCAAAAAGACTATCAGTTTCATTATCCTACCTCCAACCCATTCTTCCTCACAAGAATAAAACTTGCTATTTCATATTTTAAGCATATAAACTAGATGCTTACAACAGCTTTTGCCCAATATCTAGCCCATCAGTAGGGAACCTGCAGCCTCAAGGCCACATGTGGCCCTCTAGGTTCTCAAGTGTGGCTCTTTGACTGAATCCAAACTTCACAGAACAAAAGCCCTTAATAAAAAGATTTGTTCTGTAAAACTGTCAAAAGGCCGTACCTAAGGACCTAGAGGGCCACATGTGGCCCTAAGACCATAGGTTCCCCACCCCTGATCTAGCCCTTAGACTAAGCCAATGGCACTTACACAAATACAGTGTATTAATTAATAGTTTGACAAAGGAGAAAAAGGAGGAATCTGGTTTACAAACTGATTCAGGCAGTGAGTTTGTAGTGTGGCAGAGAACACATAATAGACATTTTTCTACCTTAAAGAACATAAAAAAATGATCCATAAGAATTTGCCAAGTGTTTAAAAGGTAAGATCACAGGATCATAAATATGGAGCTCACAAGGAACCTTAAAGGCCATCAAATCCAACATCTTCATTTTACTGATGAGGAAACAGGCTAAGATAGGTGAATCAACTTGCCAAGAGTCATGAAGTTTTTAAGTTAAGAGGCTACATTTGAATTGAAGTCTTCCTGATTCTGAATTCAAGGTAATATCCATTACCCATATATAGCCTTCTTGTAAATGTGTAACAAAAACAAATACTTTATTGCTCCAAAAATGAGTCACACTTCCCTACTACCACCACCAAATATAGATTGTAAGAAGCTTGAATGAGACCTTTCATCTATAAGTAGGTTTTTTTCCTCTGAAAAATATTTCATTTTCTGGTTCAACCTAAATTCAGGACAACATATGTTAAATCAATTTAGATAAATTAAAGAACACTTAGTATTTTTCAAAAGATAAATGATTTCACCAGTGTGAGCACTCTGTCCACCAATAGCACAAGCCTTCCATAGCTTACTAGAGTTTAATGAAATAGTCCCTCTCCCAAAAATCACTACATGATGTGCCAACCTCTTGGTGAGAAATGGAGATATCCTTATAACAGCTGTATAAAGACAATTTATGGAAGCTGAGGAGTTTAACTGGCTACGGTCTGGATCGAGTGAGGCCTGGGAAAAACTGGCTCAGATCTAAGGACACAAAAGTTTGATAATGGCCCAGGTGCATCAGTGATGCTAAGAGGACTCTTTTTCCACTTCTTTCTAAACTGCTGTTTTGCTGGAGATGTGGCTACCTTGTAAGGCCTGAAGAGTAGTTATCTCAGAAATGGAATTAACTAAAGAAAGAAGGAAGAAAGAGATAGTAATAAGGAATTATTATAGCTATTGCCAAGTGATAAAGATGTGAAGCAGTACCGAGAATACGCTAACTTGCCCACATTAATGACTATATAATGAAAAACAATGGCTGGACTTCCAAGATTGATGGTAGCAAGACATTTGGATAGGAATAAGAAAAGAGTGATGTCTGTGAGCGCCATGAAGATAGAAGGAAAGTGGAATGGGGCTTAATGAATATAATATGTATTCATATGCTAAAGCAGAAACAGGCTGTGCTAATTCTATAAGCTGATCCTCATAGCTATCTGCTAGAACAAGGAGGAATCTATATATAATATTCAATTATAATAAATATATCAAGCATTATATTTTATGTATATTTGTGCTATGTTATTCTATAACTCTGGCTCTCTACAGGATACGAGAAAGAGAAAGTGAGCCCATGAAAAGAAAGAGTGCCAGAGCTAACAATACTAATATAATAGACTATGATGAATATGTTAAGAGAAACCAATCAAGAAATAAAATCCTAGAGAAACTAAAAGCAATTAAACTTTTGCAGTTCATATGATAATGTAGATTTGTCTTATGCGCATGCTTAGTACAAAATATATTGCCTCAGAATACAGGAAACATCCTATCCAGGACCTTATGGTGTTAAGCATAAGTACCTTCCACCTTGGTCTTACCAAGCAAGGCCTTCCATCTATTAATTAATCAATTTATTAAGTACCTACCATGTGCCAGACACTGTACTATGTACAAATACAAAAAATGAAGCAATTCTGCCTTTCAGAAGGGGAGGCATCAAATACGTAAGAATATACTGGCAAATATGGGCCAAACCTAGGCCCAAGTCCAGGTGACCAGCACCCTCTGCCAGGGGGATGGGGGAGCTAAAACTCAACCACATACCCTGCCCCTCCCCACCATCCCCTGCCCCTTCTACCAGCCACTCTATAATATGAACAGAAGCAAGAACAAGCTGGCAAACCCCGGACCCAGTCCTAGCCAAAAGAACCACCACAGCCTGGCAGACCAGCACTATGGGGCATTGAGGAGAAAGGTTGGCCATGGAAGTTAAAGGAGAAGGTAACCTCTGGGGGTTAGAGATGGGCAGGAGAACCACCACCACCACCACTCTACTTCCTCCACCAGCCACTACAGTAGAAGAGCAGGAGAATCTGCAGCCACAGGTCAGGCCGAACCTAGACCAAGACCCAGCCCAGCACCCTCTGCAACACTCCCTGGAGACAGTGGGCTTCACTACCCATCTGCCACCCATTATAAACCCTATGTATTCTCCTGTTTCTCCACCTATGAATGTACTAATCAAAAAGAAGTTATTTAGGATTAAACTATTTCTAGCCCCCTCCTCCCATTCTTTCACCCCTATCACCTCAACCCTGCCTCACCCATGTCCCACTGCCATGCTGCCCACCCCATCCACTATGTCCATTTCATGACAAATTCCTCTTTATCCTGGATCTCTTTCTTTCACATTCCTTCCCTTTACTAGCCCTTACTGAAACCTAGCTCCCTTGGCAACATTGCATCCCTGCCTATCCTCTCTAGCACTGGCCATACACCTCCTCTCATTGCTCAACCCTCAATCCCCCTATACTGGTCCTACAGGAGGAATCAGAGTACTCCTTGCTCTGTCACTTTCAGACTTCATCTTTATCTCCATCATTCTGCAACCTTTCAAACACCTCTGAAAAACACTAAATCAAAATTTCCCACCCAGTCCAAATATTAGTGACTGCAATACACAGGTCATTCTCCCTTCTTTCTCAAACAATTCAGCATCTGGTTCACCAGAAACCTTTCCTCATCAACTCCTGCCCTTACACTAAGGAACTTGAGTATCACAGAAATAGTCTCTAACTTTCCTGTTCTTCAGTTTCCTTAAATTCCATGACCTACTTCTTTACCTCGCCTCAGACACACATATGGTCACACATTAGATTTTACCATTACTCATAAATGTTACACTTCCTAATTAAAAAGTCTGAAATTTCCCTATCTGACCATAACTTCCTATCATTCCACCTCTTCTTATGCTTCTGCCCTCCTAAACCCAATACTTCATCCTCATCAAGACACGCAATCTCTCCACCCCTCCGTACCTTCTCAGACCATTACCTCAACTCTGACTTTACTTTCCTCCCTCACCAATCTCAACCCAATGGTCAGATATTTTAACTCTACACTGTTCTAGAATTCCTTGCCCCCATATCTTATTGCCACTCACCTCGTGCCAAACTTCAGCCTTGGATTATTCACACCGACCACCTCCTCTGTTCCTACTCATGAACTACTGAACACAGATGGATCAAGTTTCACAACTGTGTATATTACAATACAAATTCATGTCATCCAACCTCAACTAATACAAACCAAAGCCCAGTCTTTGGTCAAAATTTTTTTAATGTTTAAGAATGAGTATTACTTTAGTTTAAATATATTTATTTCATTACTCACTGAAGTGAACGACAATAGGAGCCCATACTCAGAAAGGTCAGTCACATACAACAAAACAAAGCAGATAAACTATTATTCGTGTAACATGTATACATGTACCTATGCCACCAGACTAATTTTAATATATGTATATATGCATACATATGTGTATATATATTTATTTACATCATAAAATGTTAAATTATACATTTTTTGTTTTTTGTTTAAGGTCAGAATTTCAGATTTCACAAAATAATATGAGCATAATCACCGAGAAAACTATCTATTCAGTAGTTAGTAATACTGAATAAGACCACAGAATACTTACTATATGGCTCCTTGAGCACTGCAGGAGGTGAGAGCTTGATAAAATAGTCCAGGACACACAACATTAACTGAAATGAAATCACCAGATCATCTTCCATCTGTAATACTTCCCCTAGAAATAAAAAGAGTTGACTTTATAAAACTGTCTAGTGATTAAGATCAATAAGTTGTAAAAAGTTCAGTATATTAACCATACCGGAGGAATGTTGACTATTTTGCAAAAAGAGAAAGTACATTTCAAATGATCTATTTATAACATCATAGATTTGGAGCTAGAAGAGGCCTCAGAGGCCCCCTTGTCCAATCCCCTCATTTTACAGAAGAGGATGCTGAGGTTCACAGAGACTAGTCCAAGGTCACATATGTAGGTAGCAAGTACCGGGATTACGATTTGAATGAAGATCCTCTAATTCTAGAGTCAGTAATCTTTCCTTTGTACCATGCTGCTTCCAATGGTATATGTCTATTTACATATATAAACTACACATAAAAATATAAGCACTATAAAAACTATACTAACCTCTGTCCTCCAAAAGCTTATATTCTAACATAACAATAACAGATATTATAAGTATGTGCATTTATTATATATATTTCCATGTGAGGTACATGTTGGCATATATCTATATATACCTACATATATATAATATTATATAGATGAATAGTATATGTGTGTATATAGAGATATATATACACACATATGTGTATATGTATGTGTATATGTATATGTATATGTATATGTATATGTATGTGTATGTGTATATGTGTGTAGGCATATTATTCCAAAACTCTTAGTGCAGTTTTAACCTATTAAAGCTTAAAAATGCACTAAAATTTTTCACATAAACACTTTCTTCCTCTGGAAATAAAAGTTAACATTTTTCATTAAGTTTAGTGATTAAGATCAATAAGTTCTAATTTATTATACTAATTGTTACTAAAAGGGCAACTAGGTGGTGCATTGGATAGAGAGCTGGGCCTGGTGTCAGAAAGACCTGTGTTTAAATCCTTCTCCGCACACTAAATGGCTGTGTGATCTTGGGCAAGTCATTAACCTCTGTTTGCCTTCATTTCCCAAACTGTAAAATGGGGATAACAGCACCTATCTCATAGGGTTGTTGTCAGGATCAAATGAGATAATATTTGTAAAATGTGTAGCACAGTTCCTGGCACATAGTAGGAGCTATATAAATGTTCATTCCCTTCCCTCCCGTCCACTAGATGAATGTTTACTATTTTACAAAAAGGTAAAATATATTTCAAATACCTGCATAGGGCTATGCATATATACATACACATAGGGGCAACTAGGTGGTGCAGTGGATAGAGCACCGGCCCTGGAATCAGGAGGACCTGAGTTCAAATCTGGCCTCAGACACATAACACTTACTAGCTGTGTGACTCTGGGCCAGTCCTTTAACCCCAATTGCCTCATATTTTAAAAAAAAGGAGAGAGGGAGAGAGAGAGAGTATACATACATATACACATTTTCAGCATACACACATATACATATACATTTACCCACTCGGAGTGGGTATCAGAAATACATTTCAAGCAGGCTTTCAAAATCTGCGAGTAGAGTGTGGAAACGTGCCATTTACTGCTATGTACTCCAAATTTGGCTATTAACATGTACTACAGGGGCAGCTAGATGGCGCAGTGGATAGAGCAATGGCTCTGGAGTCAGGAGGACCTGATTTCAAATCAGCCTCAGACACTTGATACCTACTAGCTGTGTGACACTGGGCAAGTCATTTAACCCCGACTGCCTCATCAAAAAGTAAGGAAAAAAAAAAGATGTACTACAGTTGTTTTCAAGGATGTACATCAATCATTATTGGTCAATATACGACATTTCAAAAACTCACAATAGTCCTTTAAAGTTTACAATGCATTTTGTATACAACAATTCTATGAAACAGAGAATGCAATATTATTATTTCTACTTTAGGACTTAGGAAACTGAGGCTCAAAAAAGTTCTTGTCCAAAGTCATGCCTCTAGTTGGTCTTTATGATAGCACCACAGACAATAAGGTGAGCTAGATACTTACATTCTAGATAACTCTATATAAATTGCTCAAAGGAAACTAAAATGCATAGTGAGAAAATATATAGTTTTTACATGTTAACAAACTACTAATCCAGATAGTACTGGACTAGGGTAATGATAACACTGATGATGCAGAACAGGCAAGACTAAACTGAAATTTTGTTTCTATTGTTTCTTTCAAGAAGAATGATCTTTCTGGAAACTAAAATTCAAGATAAGCAGGAAAGTAAGAAAATACCTACCTGTCCTCACAAATTCATATCACTTGGCCCTGATGAACTACATTTCAGGTTATTGAAAGAACTGGCAGATAAGACTACTGAGCCATTGTCAGGCATCTTTTTAAAGATCATGGAGAATGGGAGACATAGTGCAAGCCTAGAGATTTGGAAGTGTAAGCCCAATCAAAAAACAGCAACAACAAATAGAAGAAAAGGAAGTTTGTAAAATATAGACAGAGTATCAGCTTGATTGCTATTTCTTACAACATTACAGAACATTATTAACAGAGTAGTTTGTAAGTATTTAGAAATTGAAGGAGAATTCACTAAAAGTTAATGAATCATAAAGATCAATTAACTCAGACCCTTCATTTATCACAGATAGGGAAGCAGAGGCCTGGAGAGGGGAAATAAAATACAGTTAGGTCCTGCTTAGGAGACATGAATAATGAACCCAGTGAAGTGGGTTGCATTATTCAATTTTCCACTACATATTTCCACTTGGCTAGAATCAACTACCATAGTTTATAAATAATTAAAACTTTGAATGGTGCAATTTTAAATATGTGACCATTTCAAAGGATTCATAATTTGTACTAATCAAGACTTAGCTGGACTTAGTCACAAAGGTAGTGAGTAGCAGAGCCAGAATGAAAACTCAGAGGTTCTGACTCCAAATGAAGTACTCTTTCTACACTACCATACTGCCTCTGCAAGGCTACATAAGGAAAAGTCATGCCCCATTAACCTCATTTCCTCTTTTGAAGGTGATTAGACTGTTAGATTAGGGGAATCCTATAGACACAATGTACCTAGATTTCAGCAAAACACCTGACACAGTCTCACATGTTATGCTAGTGGACAAGGTGGAGAGATATAGGCCAGATAACAGTACAGTTGTTAGCTATGTAACTGGTTGAATTCAATCTCAAAGTCAATCAGTTTTTAGGGAGGTCTCAAGGTTAGTACTCCAGGCATCTGTCAATCCTGTGCCATCCAACAATTTTATCAATGATTTCAATGAATACATAGGCAGCATGCTTATCAAGTTTGCAGATGACACAAAGCTGTGAGTATTAGTCAAGATATTGGATGCCAGAGTCAGATCCAAAAAGATTTAAATGTCAACAATAATAAATGGGATAAATGACTTAATATGATTAAGTTTAAGAGAGACAAATTTAAGTCCTACACTTGGTTTCAAAAAATGAACTCCACAGGAATGAGATGGGAGAGGTGTGGCACTATACAATAGTTTATCTAAAAGAGTTTTAGGGGTTTCAGTAGACTACAAGCTTAATATGAGTCAAAAATATGACAGCTAAAAAAGTTAATGCAACATAGGGATGTATTAAGAGAAGAAGAGTCCAAGAAAAAGCGAAGTGTTAGATCTGTTGTACTCTAGCCTAATAAGATCACATTTAGAACACTGAGTTAAGTCTTGAGCATACATTTTAGGGAGGACCTTGACAAACTGAAGCACATCCAAAAAAAGGCAATAAAGTGAGGAGCAGCTAAAGGAATCGGGGATGTTTAATTTAGAGAAGAGAAAACTCAGAGGAAACATGAAGCTATCTTCAAGTATTTAAAAGACATAACTTGGAAGAAATTGACAGAGGAAGAGGATGGATTTGCAGAGAGGTGGATTTAGGTTTGCTTTACAAGGAAAGAAACTTCTTAGTGACTGAAGCTATCACCAGATGGAATGGATTACCTTAGAGAGTCATAGGTTCCTGTCTTGAGGTCTTAAGTAAAAGCTGAATGCATTTACTGGGGATATTTTTGGAGGGATTCTTGTTCAGGTAGAGGTTGGGCTAGATGGCCTCAGAGATTCATAAGAGATATAATCATTTGATAAACAATAATAGCTCACATTTACATAATGCTTTAGGTGTTACAAAGCACTTTAAACATTACTTTGATAAATATAATAAATTTACCTTTAGCCAACAAAAACAAGATCCAAGAAACTTTTAGCACCAACATAGAATTTATTTCAGAAGACACCCTAGTAAACAGACCACAGGGGAAAAAAAAATGAAAATTTTATAGTGATAAAAGGTATTAATGAAAGTATAAAGCCAAATCTAAGGGTAGGAAGCATGCAATAGGGCATATTACTTTTTAAAAACCATTTACTTTTAATGCCAGAAAATTCTGCCCTCATTGGCAAATACGTACTTATTTTGTGATAACTTAAGTCACATGTGTTATGGTGAGTGAGGGGAATAGGGGAGAGGATCCAATGTTCAAATTTTGCCTTGGATTTATGTAATTTTTAAAAAATAACTAAATTTTATTGAAGCCTTTTGTCATCAGTCATTTCTAGGGGGAAAAAAACCTCTCTCTTCCCCAGACCAAATGGACAAGAAAATTCAAGCACAAACATCCAATACAGTGATATCTAACAACATCTACAACAATATGAACCAGTAACTCTCTGCCTCCAGGCCTGAAAGAGGGAGGTATATTTCATTATCTCTTCTCTAGAACCATAAGTTTCCCAGTTACTCAAAGTTTAGCTTCCTTACCCTAATCCTATTCATCATCACTATGACCTCCAATCCCTCCATCACTCAGGGGTTTTTTGTTTTGTTTTGTTTCTTATTTTGTTTTGTCCCCCAGGCTATCCTCTCTATCCCTGCTACACTTCCCTCCCTTTGCTATCTGGAACCCCTGAAGAACCACTTCAATGCTACACTATCCTCTATGCTTAGGTGCCTGGCCCCTTAGCCTATGTCAATCTTTACTTTCCAAGCCCCGCCTTTGATTTACTTCCACCATGAGCTGCTTAACTCCTAGTCACGAGCGGCTGGAGAAAATCATGAAAGTAAGCTAACTACAAAATTATGTCACATAATCTCAATTAAACCCTAATTGTAGCAAAGCAATTCTTTTATGCCTCCCTAAGTGATTCACTACCCTACTTAAAACAGTGGCACTCCCAAACTTTTCATCCCTCTTCAACACTACCCATCTTGGTACAGGCCCTCATAATGTCATGCCTGGACTGTTACAATAGCCTTCTAGGTGGACTCCCTGGCTCAAGTTTCTTTACACTCTAACTCAGCTATCAAAATGATCTTCCTTTATAAAGTACATGTGTGACCATAATACTCCTAACCTATAAATGGTGGCTCTCTATCACCTCCAGGATCAAACAGAAGATCTTCTGTTAGGCTCTTAAAGCCTTTCACAACCTGGCCCTTTCCTTAGTTTCTAGTCTTCTTATACTTTCCTCCCTTGCTGGTACTCTGTGATCCAGCTATACTGGTCTCCTTCCTATTCCTCATGCATGACACTACATCTCCTGACTACATACCTTTTTGATATTTTTTCATGCCTGGAATGCATCCCTCCTCACCTCTGACTCAACTGTCTGGCTTCCTAGATACTCAATTTAAATTCCACTTTTGGAAAGAAGCTTTTCCCAATCTTTCTTCCCCTACTGCCAGTTATGTTTCTTCTGACATTTCCTCCCATTTATACTACATAAATCTTGTATGTAGTTGTTTGCAAGTTATATTGCCCATAACAATTCTTGAAGGCATAAGCCATGTTTTGGTCTTTTTTTGTATCCTCAGCACTAAACAAAATATCTAGTACATAGTTAGTGCTTAATTAATTCTTTCTGATGCTAATGGTGATGAGCATTTATATAGTAGTCACTGTTATCAACATGTTGTTCTTTTCTGTTCTGCTAATTTCATTCTTTATGGATTCACAGAAATCTTTCCATGTTTCTCTGAAATTCTCATATTTATAATTTCTTATTGAGCAATAAAATCCACTGGAGTCTTTTCCAGGTTTTGTAACCATTCCCCAATCAATGAAGAGCATTACGAATATTTTGATACATATTGGAAGCTTTTGACTTCCCTAAGATACATACCCAATAGTGGGATCACTGGGTTAAATTTTATGGACAGTTTAGTTACTTTTATTGACTAATTCCAAACTGATAACTAGATAGCTGGATCAATTCAATTAAATTCAATCAACATTTATTAATCACCTACTATGTGCCAGGTACTGTGCTAAGCACTAGGGATATAAATAAGAAAAAGAAAGACATTCCCTGCCCTCAAAAAGCTTACAATATAATGGAAAAAGACAATAAACAAAAGAAATCTGAAAGGGGGGGGCAGGGTACCATCAGAGAGTACCTAGTGCAGGGGCATGCTGCTCCATGGAGTACAAACTAAGCAGAGCTGCTGATAAAAAATGGTGCAGATGATAAAAATTCAAAACCTAGCCAAGGAGATATTAGTAGGCCTGACTCCCCAAGGCCTGTTCCCGTCTTTTGTCATCTTTGCCAATTTGCAGAGTATAATGTGGCAAAAAGAAATGACTATGGCATTAAAAAAAAGGCATCAATAAAACTTAAAAAACAAGACAAAACAAAAATCTCTCCAAAGATTATGACCCTGATGAAGCTTCAACTTTTAAATTTCAGATTATAAAATAAGGCAACAAATTATGAAGAGAAATATTTTATTGTTTTAGGGTTTTCAAAAAAAAGTTCTCTCTCTTACTGCCCTCTCCCCAGTCTAACAATATTTTAAAAAAATTTTCCATTGCAAACACATGTAGTACAGCAAAACAAACTCTCACATTGGGCATGTCCAAAAATGCATGTCTAATTCTGGAATTTAAGTCCATCAACTCTTTGTCCGGATGTGGATGATATGATTAATTTTCAATTCTCTGAACAGGAGATTTATCATTGCATTAATCAAAATTCTAAGACATTTCAAAATTTTTTTTATAACGTTGTCATTATGTATGTAAATATTGTTTTATTTCTGCCCACTCTACTCTGCATCAGATCAGAGAGGTCTCCCTAGTTTCCTCCCAAATTGTCCATTTCATCATTGCTGACGGCACAATATAGTCATATACCATAATGTATTTAGTCATTCTCCAAACAGGTGGGCATTTCGTTAGTTTCCAGATTTTTTGGCTATTACAAGAGATGCTATTAATATTTTTGTGTATATAGGATTTTTTCTTCTTTTCTTTATCCCTCTGGGACATAGAACAAGTAGGAGTATATAGCCAATTTAATTATCAATACCATATTTGCATCACAGAAAGATTGAAAGGGTGCCTTCTTTTCTTATTATTGTAAATAGTTTGTGTAATATTGGAATTAATTGTTTTTTGAGTGATAGAATTAATTTGTAAATCCATTTGGTCCAGGAGTTTTTTTTTTCTTGGAAAGTTCATTTATCACTTGTTCAATTTCTTTTTCAATAGTGTGTTAAATAATCTATAGGTTCTTTTGTTAATCTTGGCATTTTGTATTTTTGGAGTATTCATCCATTTTCCTAAATTATCAATTTTGTTAGGATATAATTAAACAAAATAGTTTCTAATTTCCTCTTCATCTGTTGTGAATTTTCCTTTTTATTTTTGGTACAATTTGGTTTTCCTCTATTTAAAAAAAAAATCAGACTAGCTGTTTTTTTTAATTAGGTTTTTTCCTCCAAGAAAAAACAGCTCCTAGATTTATCAATTCAACTTTTTTTTTTTAAATTTCTGATTGCATTAATTTCTTCTTTTATTTTCAGAATTTTATTTGCTCTGTTGCTTAGCTGGAGATTTTAATTTGTTGTTGTTCCTCTTTTTTTATTTGTGTACCCAGCTCATTGATGTGTTCTTTCTCTCTTTTACTGATGACGCCATTTAAAGATATATGTATTTTCCTCCAGAGCAGTATTAGCTGCATCCAATTTAGTACAGTGTCTTATTACTGTCATTTTTTGATGCAATTTTTTATTGTTTCTATAATTCTTTTTTTGACCCAGCAGTCTTTAGGATTATATTAGTTTCCAGTTATTTGTTCCTTAAAAAATTACTCATTTAATTAAGAGTCTTTTGTTAAATATAATTTTTATTTTATTGTAATTAGTAAATGATGTGTTTAATATTTCTGCTTTTCTATGCTTTTTATGAGGTCTTTATGCCCCAATACATGATCAACACTTTTCATTTTTGTCATTTTGCTGAGTGTGAGGTGGTATATGAAAATGATTGTGGTATAAAAAAACAAAAGGCATCAATGAAATTTTAAAAAAACAAGACAAAACAAAAATATCTCCAAGGATTATGACCTTGGTGAAGCTTTGTCTTCTAAGTTTTGGCTTAAAAAATGAGAAAAAAATTGTAAAGATAAATACTTTTCATAAATAAATTGATATTACATCATATAAGATTTTACATAATTGGTTATTGTTCTGACCTACTTAACTGATGTATGTATACTTTAGAAAATTTTCCACTGTACAGCATTAAGATATATAAAATAAATTTCTTAAATGTAATTTTTGTAGTCACTACATAAAAATTTGGACATCAGGTCATTTGCCAGTAATTTAATCCTCTATTATAACACTGGTTCCAAGAGAAAAGTAGGCTTGACATATTATTTTGATTTATAGTATCTTTCTCAGGAATATCGTCTACCATGTAAGTGAAAACTAAGTTTGTGTGAGCTACTCTCCCATCTTCAATTTCTCAAGCTAAATACTGCAGACGTCCATTAGGTAGCAGGCACTGAACAACTTATTTAACTATCATTAGTTCATTCTTGATAAGCATGTGTTATCATTTTATGAAGTAGCTGCTGCTATCAGTTAAACTTGTGTAAGCATTCAATAAATATCTGTTGATTAACTGATAATGAATAGCACTGAATTGTCAGCTACGTTCTACTTAACATATACATATAGTAGATGAAAGGTTGCTATCAGGGTCCATAGCCATGAAATCTCTGTGATATGGTAAATGATCCTTATCAGACCTGAACTCACGACCTTAGCCCCATCCTCTAAACCAATGAGACAATTAGGACCAATATATATATAATTATATATATACACATATATACACACACACACATATATATATACATATATATATATGTGATTAGTACAAGAAAAAAGAAAAATCAAAATAGCATTCTGAATCACTTACGGACTACTAGGTTGAGCCATATATATAAGTCCACATGTCCTGAAAGGGAAAAAATATCATTTAGGCTAAGTATTTTCTATTTTTTGAGTGGAAGTCTTTAAGGCTTCTTTAAAAGAAACTATTTTTAGCAAGATAAAAGTTATAAAAGATTTCTTCAATTTAGGAAATTTCACACTGATAAAAATTTATGGTGCAGAGAAGAGAATTTTTTCCACATCAGGAGTTCTCTACACCAATGAACTCACATATGCAGGCCAAAATAATAAATGATGATAATAATAATAATGACGATGATGTACACCAACGGTACTTTAAAAGTTTACAGAAAGGTCCTTAAAGCTCAATGTACATTATTTTCCATAATTTTTAGTACACAATAATGTTATCTTTGTACTATGATCATTTGCAAGCTTCCATCATACATTACTTTGAAATGAACAGGCATTTACATCATGGTTACTCCTCCCAGTTACTTTTCAGAAAATGTTAAGTTAAAGGAATAAAAATAATTCAGTCTTGCAGAAAAATAAACCCTTTTCATAACCCAATCCCCCTCAAGGCAATAATTCTCAATTGCTCTCAATCATGTATATATGGATTATTCACTAAATATGTTGAATCCCAAACAGTATCCCTATGCCATTAAGAACACTTCTGGCCTACTTCTTTAAACCATTATTTGAAATGTTTTTCATTTTGAAATGCTCAGAAAATCCAAAGTAATTCTATAATCTTTAACGAAATGTATGTATGTGTATACATAAATATATACAGATAAAAAGATAGATAGATAGACAGACAGACAGATAGACAGATAGATGGATGTTAAAAAGCTGAGCTGTTAGGGGTAGGAAAATCCAATGTAATATATGCCAAATCTAAATGTAAATTACTTTTGGCTTACCTGTACCACTACTTCTCTCCATGGTCAAGAGTTAGCTATAATACATACACAATCAACCAACATTTATTGATCTTCCCATATTAACATCTTGTTCTTTCTATTCTCTTAGTTATTTTCTATAGGTTTCCTTTCCCCGCCTCTCTGGTTTAATGTGTTTCTTTTCTTTCCCACAATTCAACATTCCTTTTAGGACAATACTAATTTTATCGGGTAAAATGGTGACCAATGTGGTTTATTTATTGCCTTCCTTGGAAAATGAAGTGTTAAAGATTGTTAGGTTATAGAGATGGTGAAACATGTGCCCTAGTACAAAAAGCTTTTTTTTTTTAAATCATTTCCTTATATGAATATTCCTTAACAGTCCTCAAGAGAATGTTATAAAGTCATCTTAGGGAAGATAATAAGGGAAAGGAAATGTGGAAGAACAAAATAAGATATAGATGTTGAAACAAGAAAGTAGAAAGTTCCACAGCACCTGGACAAAATGAAAGTGAGGGCAATAAACACAAATCAAGCCCCAATTTATTCCCAAAATTTAAAATTTAGAAAACTGAAAATACTTGATTTCCAGGAATAACAAAGTAATTAGGGATTTTTAGCTCTAATCTTGGCAGTACAATATTTATTGCTGCCATATTTTTCTCTTCAGAAAGTTTCAACTTTGATCACATGATGAAGAAACAATCTGAAAAATAATTTAATTTGGTGACCAAGAAAATATAGGGATATCAAATATGCAATACTGCAGAAAAACTTCACCACTTGTTTCCCCCCAACTTTAAATAAAAACTTTCCTTTCTGGATGGTGTCATATATGAAGATGGGCTTTAAGGGAATAGAAGGTAAGAGGGTGGGAAAAAAAGGAAAACAAGAGTTAACCTCTGGTGGTAGGGCTGGGGATAAGGGAGTTTTTTCATGTCTTATTCTCAAATCGATTCTCTCTAGAACACTACAGGATCTTTCTTCTTCCCGTGTGCCCTCCCCATCCAGTCAGAAGGGTGTCTATATAGCTAACATAATCTCTGACTGTGAAAGAGAACCAAGACTCAATTAGGGGATGTCTCAATTGTGGAAATAGCATTGTTTGCCTTGCCTGTCCCTAATGTGAGAAGTAATGCAACAATGCCCCTTCAATTTTATGACAGGGGAAAGAACAAGGAAAGCAGAGAAAAGATAAAACTTTTCTCCCTGAAACTCTCCTCACTTCTGCTTTTGTTCTGATTGTTCAGAGTACTAGCCACACAACTAAGAGGCAGTTTTACTTCTGTGATACCCTCCATTTAGAAATACAAGTTTGCTGGGCAAGGAGAAACTAAAGTATTTGTTTGTAACATATGAAAACCAACAATGAACCAGACATCAAAAGATCTTGTACTAAAAAGAAAAAAGTATCCTCTATAGTAGATATTCAACAAATGCTGACTAAACCAAATGGGAATTATTAAGATATCAAGAGTAAAAGCCAAAATTTATATTTTAAAAATAAAAAATTCATTTTACCTTTCCAGTTTGTGGTAGAGTGCAAATAAAACATCATATTTCTTCATTAATCTGGATATAGTACAATCCACTTTAGTACTGGTATCAATTTCTCTTAGCAAATAATAAAATTTGTGTACACTGCATGGGAAAGGATTAAGAAAAATAAGTTATTTTATAAGTATTTTACTTAAATGCAGTTTATTTTTAAGTAAAAGCATTTCAACACGAAACAACGAGTACTACAATTTTACTAAATGAATCCATTATCTTTCTTTGCAGTAGCTATCAATTGGACCTAGAGGGAAAATCATAAAATAGTTTTCCTTACATATTGGATAGGGAGAGGGAATAGAGTGAGAAATGAGTTATCAATAAGACATGTCATGATAAGAAATAAATGGTTCAAGTTCTAAGTAGTTCCACTATTTCAAATACTAGCTGGATATTATAGAGAAGGGCTAGGCAAAGCCACTCAAAACTAAATTTTCTCAATTTCATTGATTGACAAATAGATCAAATCTATTTAGATCACTAGTTAGGACTCAATTTAGTACTTTTTTCCCTTCATACTAAGTGATTTTTTGTTGTCTGATATAACCTTAACAGATTTTTTTTAATAATTCACACGCACATTTACAGCATGAGAAAGGGACAAGACTGATGATTTCACCAGAATAGGAAGCTCTCTGGATGGGAAAATCCTTCTACCAATGAAAATCAATTCTTAGAGTTGTCAAGATTACTAAGAGATTAAGTGCCTTTCCTCGGGCACACAGCCAGTATCTGTCAGAGCCTGGACTTTAACCCAGGTCATCATACCACATTGTTTCTTTCAGAATATACATAGTGTTATACTTTTCTATTAGTTGTGAAGCTATTATCAGGAAACTGAATTATAGCTGGTTATTTTAATTAATAAAACTAAAACATTTATTCATAAAATCTTTGGTAGGTGAATTATGTTTAGTTCAATAAGTTAATCAAATATATTGAAGACCTTTTTCCATAAGCTCTACTAAAATTCTACTCTGATACCTCACAGTACATAGATAAGTTCTCAAAGGTTGTGCCATTAAAGTTCATATCTGGTAAGTCCTCTAGCTAAAGTTTCAAGTATAGGCCTAGCAAAAGACTACATCTGTCATCTGAGGGTTTCCCAGGTAAAGTGCAGAAAGGATCATGAACAGAAAGTCACCAGGTAATCAATTTTCTGGCCATATCAATTCATCAAGACTGCTAATATATACAAGGATTATAATCTATATGAATAAAGGAAATACTTACATCAATGAACTCGCTGATGCTTATAGTATTATTTAATAATAACACAATAAAAACCTTACCCCAAACTGCAGACTTTTAACTGTAACTAAAACAAGAAACTTATGTATTTTAAATGTTTATCTTTAACTATATGTACCTACTTTATTGAGAAGTTTTCTTTTCATCCTTGCAAATGATAAGCCACTAGAAACCCGTAAGATTTGTCCCCAGCTTTAACTCATAACCTATTATGACCACTCTATAAAACCTTTCTTTAAAGATTACATAATTATATTATCTCATATAATTGTAATTCTTATTTAACAGTAATGTCCTTGGAGTTTTAACAAACCTTAAATTACATCTTTATATTTTTTAAGAAAAAAAAACATTAACAAAAAAGCACATTTTAATGATCAAGAAAAGTCATAGGGAAAAGTACAATATGAAAATCCTTCAGAACATTCTCTCAATTTCTCTCATTTCAGTGCTACCAGTGAGGCCTTAAACTATGGGTTTCAGGAAGAAGGTACTGTTTGGCATTATGTTCCTGGGGTGCTACCTACTTGAGTCTTATGGGATGATCAAATTGCTGTTCCTTCAAATTTGTTACTCACCTCCATAAGGTTCTCAGGAGAAGTCACTGGCAAGTGCCAGCCTCCACAGGTCAAAAGCAGGACCATGGATCTTCCTATTTTCTATCCATTATAGAATGTGGAAGAACTAGACTGTTTCACATGAAAATTTACACTAATTTATACTGAAAAGTATTCATTTTGTCTACAACTTTGACAAAAACACTATCCTCTCAAGAAGTACTGTACATAACTGAGTATTTTACAACAGTGGAATTTACAGTCAATCCTCAACATCTACATATTTAACTTTGGTGACTTTAAGCATTTATGTGAGTTTATTAGTAACCTCATTTTCACTTTCATATTGGCAACTACACACATTAGCAGCTATGCACAGTAAAGAAAAAAATGAGAGACACAATGCGCTCAAGTTAGTGGAACATCAGGTATCCTACTAGGTGCTTCAATGGTCTTGTGTCACCTACCATTGTAAAGAGCTCTCCCATGCATTCGTTGCATATTTTTGTTGTTTGCCTTTCAAACTCAAGTTTTGTTTTGCAATTATGTCCCCAAAGCGTACTGCAAGTTCTTTGGGTTCTAAGCTGATGTTGAGACCTTGCCAGTCTCCGCATTTTCCAACAACAGCAACTAAAGTCCCAGCAACCTCCCTCTTAATTTTCAGAGGGTGGCCAAGGCAGAGAGGTTTACAGCAATATAGTATACAATTCAACCCCTCAGATCATCATCTGACACAGTGGAAGGTAAGATTCAGATTAAAAAGTATTTTAGGTTTAAGAATTGCGTATGCTGTACAGCATTTGTGGTATTGTAGCTTTTCATGTGTTATAAAAAATGACTACTGTCTGAAATCAATATTTTTTAAAAATTGAGATGTTAACACAAAATGTCACAGAATTCTAGCAAATTACTAGTAAGAAAAAATTCTGCATATTACCAATTTTATTTTGTATACTGCATTTTATGGGTCATTTCATGTTTACTGGGTTAAGAAAAGTACATATTATCAGAATTAATTTTTTATTTTAAAGCACTGTATGAAGAAAAGTGTATCTTCACTAGGTGGCACAGTGGATAAAGCACCAAGCATGAAGTCAGGAGGATCTGAGTTCAAATCCGACCTCAGACACATAACACTCACTATCTGTGTGACAGTGGGCAAGTCACTTAACCCCAATTGCCTCACCAAAAAAAAAATGTATTCTCAGCAATCACTAATAAAAGATTACAAGTTTCAGTGGCTGAAAGAACCTAATTCCCTATTTCTCACAAATTCAATGTATCAACATTTTTTTTTTTTGCTTTTGCACAGTTTTCTAGGAACATTATTACCCTTGCAAAAGTTGAGGATGGACTATATTCTTTATCTCCTTTTCTCAATAAAAAATAATTAACCCTCATCTACTAGTTTGACTACATCTTTAGTGTCTTTGGAAAATCCTCTCAATCATAAAAAGTTATGACTCAAGTTTTTGTCTGAGTTTTTAAAAATTTAATATTATCTCTTCCTACTGCCTGATTAAATTGGAATTGATAACATAGAAACCAAGATGAAAGCTTTTTGGATCTTTGGTTAAGAAAGCTGTTTTCTCATAAATTCATTCCTAGGAATTGTAAATTGTGAATGGAAAAAGGGGGTGGGGAGTAGAGTGGAAACTGAATCCAATGAAGTGATGAAAATTATAAACCACTATATGCAGTTCCACTAGGCACATTTATTGCAAAAAACAAACCCAGAAAACACAAATATGCCAATAAAACTACTAAAATGAAAGGAACAAATTGGCTAACTATCTAGGTATAGTTCTCTTGAAATAAATTATAGATGTACATGATAATTAAGGTAGAAGTATCAACTCATGAAACTTCTATGAGATGTAAATCCAAAGGCACTAAGTAAAAGTGCAACACTACTGCAAAAAACAAATTCATAGCCAATGCCTTTGGTTGGTTTGGATGGTTTGAGGTATATGCTGAATGTCCATTACTTTTCATCCCCATGGCCAGGGTCCAGTCCTATTCTAATCCAACCCCAAAGGTCTATCTTCAGCCAGGAGCATTCTAGAAGATCTGGATTGGTCCCAAGTTACACCAATCCAAATAACCAGGTGGTTAGATCAATTCTATGCCCAACTTGGAGCTTCACTTTAACACAGCCAACACAACAGACATGATAATTGTCTTCAAATACTTGAAATTCTGTCATGTAAAAGAGGAATAAGATTTATCTGGTGTTACTCTACAAGGCTTTAAAACTAGGACCAACAAGTGAAAGGTTCAATAAGGCAGATCATAAGAAAAAACTTCCTAGCAAAACTAGAACTGTTAACTGCAATAGTAGTTAGCACCTGGTTACTGGAAGTATTCTTGCATTGGCTAAATCACCAAAAGGTCTGCAATTTCTGCTTTATGCATGATTAAAAAAAAACAAACTAGACAAATGCTAAGGTAGCATCTAACTTTCAATTATAAAATTCTAAAACAAGTATGGAGCTACGTTATCAATCTAACAAAATGTGAATAATTAGATTAACTCAAAAGTAAATCTAAACATTCAAATAAAATATGAAATTGTTCCTATGTCCCAGGCATGACTGGAAACAAAAGTGACCTATAATAAGGTGGGAACCTAAGGCTCATTTCAAAGATGAGCTTTCGAGGTTAAGAAACAGGGTCACATGGGTTTTCTTCTAAGTCAAATTTTCTTAGCAAAAGACTACTACCTAGTTTGCTACCATTTTATGGTTTCTTACTTCAACAGCGGCTTATACAGCGAAATATGAGCTATATATTGCAATTTACTTTGACAACTATTTCTATTGATATCACAAAATGTACCTTATATCTATGTTTTTCTGAAGCTCAGTAAAGGTGAATGGCATCTCATCCAGGTCTATAGCTGCAGTGAATATACAGATTCCCCATAATTCCTTTTTCTTTTGAATATAACATTCCTATGAAAGATAAAAAAAGAATTCATCAATTAATATACTCAAATAAAATGTACTATGATAGAAATTATAAATATACGTGGTTTTTTTTAGTGTATCAAAATAAAGTCTTAAACATATTCTCATGATGCCTCAAAATGATTTGCACATACACTGTATTGAAAAGAAAGGATTTGACTTTTGCTATAGTAGTTAACTTTTTATTAGAAAGATCCAAATTATAACAATATGGAAAATTATATGATCACACATTTGGTGTAAATGTCTCATTTAAATGATCTAATGTCATTCACAGCAAACCTCAGAATATGAACATTCATAATTCATGCACTTTGTCTGAAACCAAGCCCATTTTCTGATCTGATTTTCAGTTTTCTGAACTAGACCAAAATTTATACTTTGGAATCTGAAAAAAGTTCTATTTTGTTTAATCTTTAACATACTAAAAAATACAAAAGCAAACATATTAACAACAAAAATTTAAAATAGTAAACTACATACTAGTTTTGCAAAGGAAAAATAAGAAAATTATTCATTTTAAACACTGGACAATAATGAGATTTTAATTTGTCAACTCTGAAGTAGTAAAGCATAAATTATCTAAACCTGAACACCGTATGTATAAACAATCAAATATGAAAAATAGCTACAAAATCTACAAAGAAAAATATTTCAGAAACATTTTTTATTGCCTTAAGTCCATAAAGTGGCATAGTGTATTGAAAGTCAGAAGACCCAACTTCAAATCTAAGCTACTGCTTATTACTCCCTGGACAAGTCACTAACCTCAGTTTCCTCAACAGTAAAATAATGCTAATAATTCTTGTTGTTTATTGTTGTTCAGTCATTTCAGTTGTGTCTGAGTCTTCATGACCCCATCTGGAGTTTTCTTGCCAAAGATACTAGAGTGGTTTGCCATTTCCTTCTCCAGTTCATTTTTTAGATGAGGAAACTGAGGCAAACAGGGTTAAGTGACTTGTCCAGGGTCACACAACTAGTAAGTGTCTGAGGCTGGATTTGAACTCGGGTCTTCTTAACTCCAGGTCCAGGGCTCTATCCACTGTGCCACCTAGCTGCCCCAATGTTAATAATACTTAAGATCAAATGAGATAAAGTATGTAAAGAGCTCTGTAAATCTTAAAGTACTGTTAGTGCTAGTGATTATTCAAACATTATCTCACTTGAGAGTCACAATAATCCAGTTAGGCATACAATACAAGCATTATTATACTCCTATTAAAAGATAAGGAATTTGAGACTCAGAGAAGTTGGTGCTTTTATAAATGATCACACAACTAATAAGTAACCCAGCCTGACTCAAATCCAACGTTCCTAGCACTATACTACACTGTCTCATCCTCTAAACATGACAGCAAAAGAGATAAAAAACAAAAAGGAAAAGGATGTATATGTACAAAAATATTTATAGCAGCTCTTTTCTGGGGGCAAAGAATTAGAAATTGAGGGTATGCCCATCAGTTGGGGAATGGCTGAACAAGTTGTAATACTACTGTACTACAAGAAATGATGAACAGTACGCTCTCAGAAAAACCTGAAAACTTGCACACGTTGATACAAAGTGAAATGTACTGTGTACAAAGTAACAAAAATATTGTAAGATGATCAGCTGTGAATGACTTACCTATTCTCAGCAACAGAACAATCCAAGACAACTTTGAAGGACTTATGATGAAAAATGCTATCCATCCCCAGTGAAAAAACTGATGGTGTCTGAATACAGATTGAAGCATACTTTTTTTTAAAATTTATTTTTCTTGAATTTTTTTTGGTCTATGTTTTCTTTCACAACATGACTATTATGGATATGTTTTGCATGACTACACATGCATAACCTATATCAAATTGCTTATCTTCTCAATGCGGGGGGGGGAGGGAAGAGAAAGAAGAGAGGAAGGGAGATTATTTGAAACTCAAAGTTTTAAAGACGAGGGGCCACAAAGGCACAGTGGATAGAGCACAGGCTCTGAAGTCAGGAGGACCTGAGTTCACTTGACTTACTAGCTGTGTGACCCTGGGCAAGTCACTTAACCCCAACTGCCTAAGGGGGGGGGGGGTTTAAAGATGAATTTTAAAATGTGTTTTTACACGTAACTGGGGAAAAATAAAATACTAAATAAAAAATGGGGGAAAAAAGAAAACCATTGAATTAATAAATAAATTTTATGAAAAAAACAATAAAACAGATAAGCTATTGAAGGAAACTGAAGGAATCAGAATGGGCAATCAGATTTTTTAAAAAAGAAAGAGAAGAAACCAAATCACTATTATTAAAAATGAAAAGGGTAAATATAACACTAATGAAGATAAAATCAAGCAATTATAAAGAGTTATTTTGCCAAGTTATATGCCAATAAACTTAGCAATTTAAGTGAAATGGAAGAACAAATAAAAAACATAAACTGCCTAGATTAACAGAAGCGGAAACAGAATACTTAAGTAAACCTATTTTAGAAAAAGAAACTGAACAGGCCATAAATGAGTTTCCTAAGAAAAAAGCATCAGGACCAGATGGATTTAAGAATGAATTCTACCAAACATTTAAAGATCAACTAATTCTGATATTAAATAAATTACTTGGAACAATAGGCAAAGGAGGAGTCCTACCAAATTCCTTTTACAAAACTAATACGGTACTGATACCTAAACCAGGAAGAGCAAAAACAGAAAGAAAATTACAGACAAATTTCATTAATGAATATGGATGCAAAAATCCTAAATAAAATACTAACTAGTAGACCACAACAATATATTACAAAGATTATACATCGTGACCAAGTCGGATTTATACCAGAAATGCAGGGATGGTTTAACATAAAGAAAACTATTAACATAATTAATTATATCAATAACAATAGTAACAAAAATCATATGATTATCTCAACAGATGCAGAAAAAGCTTTTGATAAAATATAACATTCATCCCTATTAAAAATACTTGAAAGCATAGATATAAATATTTTTTAATGATAAGAAGCTTATCTAAAACCATCAGTAAGCATTACTTGTAATAAGGATAAGCTAAAAGCCTTCCCAATAGAATCAAAAGTGAAATAAGGATACTCATTGTCACCACTATTATTCAATATTGCATTAGAAATGCTAGCAATAGCAATAAGAGAAGAAATAGAAATTGAAGGAATCAGAATGGGCAATGGAATAATAAAACTCTCTCTTTTTGAGGTGATATACTTGGAAAATCCTAAAGATTCAACTAAAAAGTTAGTGGAAACATAATTCTAGCAAAGTAGCAGGATATAAAAGAAACCCACACAAATCATTAGCATTTCTATATATCACCAACAAAACCCTGAAAGGAGAGATAGTAAAACATACTCCATTGAAAATAACTGCAGACAGTATAAAACCTGAGAATATACCTACCAAAGGAATTATGTGAACCTAATAATAAAACGCTTTTTATACAAATCAAGTTAGATTTAATTGGAGAAATATTAATTGTTCACAGATAGGCAGAACCAATATAATAAAAAGGACAATTTTACCCAAACTAATATATTTATTCAATGCTATCCCAATTAAATTACCAAAAATTTTACTTTGCTGAGCTAGAAAAAATAAAACAAAGTTCATTTGGAAGAACAAAAAGCCAAGAATATCAAAGGAATTAAAGGGAAAAAAATGTAAAGGAAAGAGGTTTAACAGTACCAGATCTTAAACTATACTATAAGGCAGTAATTTTCAAAACTATCTGTAACTGGCTAAGAAATAGAAAGGTAGATCAGTGAAACAGAGCAGACATACAATCTACAGCAGCAAATGATTATAGTAATCTTGTGTTTGATAAATGTAAAGACTTAAGCTTTTGGTAGAAGAATTCATTATTTGGTAAAAATCATTGGGAATAGCTGGAAAGCAGTCTGGCAGAAATTGGGCACAGACCAGTGTCTTACACCATTTACCAAGATAACATCAAAATGAATACATGATCTAGATATAAGGGGAGATATCATAATTAGAAGAACATGGAACATATTACCTACCAGATTGATGAATAGGAGAACAACTTATGAATAAACAAGAGATAAAGAATATTGCAAGGTATAAAATGGGTAATTTTGATTACATTAAATTAAAAAGTTTTTGTACAAATAAAACCAATGCAGCCAAGATTAGAAGGAAAACAGAAAACTTGGAGAACATCTGTATAGGCAGCTTCTCAGATAAAGGTATTGTATCTCAAATACATATGGAATTTTAAGAATGAGTCATTCCCCAACTGATAAATGGATATGAACAGGCAGTTTTTTAATAAAGAAATCAAAACTATATATAGTCACATGAAGATCATAAGAAAAAATACTCTAAATCACTAATGATTAGAGAAATGCAAATTAAAACAACTTTGAGATATCATCTTACACTTATCAGATTGCTAAAATTATAGAAGAAAGTGACAAATGTTGGAGGGGACATAGAAAAATTGGGATGCTAATTCACTGTTGGGTGGAACTCTGAAATGATTCAATCATTTTGAAGAGCCATCTGGAATTATGCCCAAAGAGTTATAAAATTGTGTATACCCTTTGACCCAGCAATACCACTATTAGGTCTGTTTCCCAAGCTGATTAGGGAAAAAGGAAAAGAACTTAAATGTTCTAAAATATTTATAGCAGCTCTCTTTGTGATGGCAAAGAACTGGAAATTGAGGGGATGCTTGTCAATTGGGGAATGGCTAAACAAGTTCTGGTATATGATTGTAATGGAATACTACTGCACCATAATAAATGATGAGCTGGTTGGTTTTAGAAAAACATGGAAAGATTTGCATGAAATAATGAAGAGTGAAATAAACAGAACCAAGAGAACATTATACACAGTAATAGCAATATTATTCTAAGAACAACTAAGTCATTTTGAATATTCTAAATACTCAAACTACAAAGAACCTATGAAGGAAGATGCTATCCATATTCAGAGGAAAAATAAAGTACAAAAAGAAGTATGTATAGTATTGTTTTATG